ATCAAAAATATTCTTGAGTTCATACTAATATAAATGAATGATTGAATATATTATTAATGAGGGAGAATAGATGAATCTCCTGTGCAGGAAAATTCCAAATAACTATGTCGATATTCCACTTTCAAGGAAGCAGAGCAGAACTCCCGTCTGTGGAGTGTGGGTTGTGCATAGTGATTTAATTTCCAAACGATACAGCATAGAAAGAGCGACTTCACAGTAGAGAAATCTGACAAACGCTACCTCAGCCAGATGCTCAAGCTTAACATCAACAGTGATCGGTCATGTTGATGGAATGTACCCTTGACATAATGTGAGGAAAGTGGTACTGTACTTCTGTGGTCTTCCTTCCTGAAACATACAACCCCAGTGTAATCATAAGAAAACATCAGAGAAATCTCAATTGAGGGATATTCCATACAATACCTCAGCATTATTCCAGAAAACTGACAAAGCTATAAAAAACAAGGAAAGTCTGAGAACTGTCACAGCCTAGAGGAGGCACATGATGACTAGTGTAATGTGGGATGCTGGATGAGATGCCAGAACAGTGAAAAGATAGTAGGTAAAACTAAGAAAGTCAGAATCAAGCATGGATATCAGTTAATAATAGTGTGTCAATATTGTTTCATTAGTTGTTACAAATGTACCATACTATGTCAGATGTTAATAACAGGAGAAACTGGGTGTGGGGTAAATGGCAACTCTTTATACCTGCATTCCCCAACCTGCTGGGCTATAGACCAGTACTGGTGGGTGTCCTGTTAGGAACCAGGCCACACAGCAGGAGGTGAGTGGCGGGTGAGCAAGCAAACTTTCACCTATATTTACAGCATCTCAGGGCTCCCACTGACTCTGCATTATGCTGAATTGTATAATGATTTCATTATCTATTACAATATAATAACAATAGAAATAAAGTGCACTATAAATGTAGTATACTTGAATCATCCTGAAACAATCCCTTGCCCAGGTCTGTGGAAGAATTGTCTTCCATGAAACAGGTCCCTGGTGCCAAAAAGGTTTGGGGACTGCTGCTTTATAATACCTTTACAACTTTTTTTTTTTGTAAATTTAAAACTATTCTGAAATAAAAAGTCTGTTTTTTAAAAAATAAGCATTAAAGCTTCTTCTGGGTCTTAAAAAAAAAAAGAAAAAAAAAGAAAAAATAAGCAAATGGTCTTCTAGATACTAAACAAGGACATCTTAAATCACATTAGCACTGTTTGGAAATTTGGGCATCTCCTGGAGAACATACAGAAAGGAGAGTATTCCTATCTGATTTTGGCATTATTAAAATATTCTTAGGTCAAACCTAACTTCACATATAGATTATTGTGGGAGTACACCATTAAATTTTATTTACTTTTAAGTAGAAAATTAAACTGACAAATAATTGCTTTTCTTCATCTTTGGAGCTTTAAAACGTTTTCTTTTTGGTGTGAGTGGCCTTCCCATTTCTTAGTAAGAATTCATTGACTTGAGTGTTATTATTATTATTGTCTTTACAAACCTATTCTTCCCTAGAACAACTGATTTTCTTTAAGCATTAGCTAAATGTCTAGAGGCAATAAATGTACGACTCTTTGCTCTAGAAATCAATATGACTCAATTATGCTCAAGCCAGTGGACATATATAGACTCCAACTGTGTACACTGTGTACTAGCACTGTGCTGGGCCTTAAGCCATCTGCTCTAGTCCAGCTTTCTACCCTTAGAAATCAGCTTGCCCTTATTGGACCCATATTGGCATGTTAATATTTGATAGTGGCCTGGCTTTTATAAAAACATATAGTTTTACAGGGAACTCCTTCTCAGGACAGAGTATCTTTGCTCAAAGGAATGGATCTGTTTGAGCCAGAAAGGCAGGCACGATGAAGGGACATTTCTGTGCAGGAAGATCTTTGCACCACCTGGAAATGTCATCATATGGTTCTCTACCTGCCCCTTTTGAAGACTGGCTTTGGTGGGCTGGAATTTGGTCTAAATTGGAGTGGCCCCTTGTATTCTTCCAATTTCTATTTGTTCAGTAGACAATAAAGAGAATTTGACTAGAAAGAAGGAGCTTCTAGACCAGGCTCTACCTCTAGCCATCTGTGAAATTAAGCTTCATTGTTTTTTTTTTTCACTCTGTGAAAAAAGAGTTTAGAGCAGCTTATCTTGGATCCTTTTGAGCCTTACATTTTCTGACCATATGAGCTGGACCAGGTAGGTCTTTGTTGAGATTGCTGTCTGCGTCAATGAGAAGGCAGGTCTCAGAATTCTTTAATGGTTCTTTTTTCCTAGTCATTGCCATTGGATTTAAGATAGATTTCCTGAAGTTGACACAGGAGTCCTGAGAAGTTTTCCTTATTTCATCCCAGTTGTTCTTTTGCAAGTGGCCAATTTCAAGCTTGCATATTGGAATATTTTACATCCCTATATTATCACTTACAAGAGAAGCATTGTGATGTAGGGAAAGGAGCATGGGCTTTGTGGTCATTCTGAACTGGGAGTGAATCTTACCTTTATCATTTAAGTAGACCTGTGGCCTCAGAAAATGATTTAGCTCCTCTAAAAATCCAAATTTTCAATTAATAAAAATTGACAATAATAATTCTTATCTCTCAGGGAAAGTGTAGAGATTAAATGGGACAACACGTAAAATGACTGTCCCTTAGTAGTTGTTCAAGAAATATTAGTTTCCTTCCTTCTTTCCTTTACTCCTTTCCTTCTTTCTCTTCCCTTCCTCCCTTGCATAATGATGGAAGTTACATCTTCATATCTTCATTACTATGTTTGCAAATGATATTTGGGCTATTGAGTGATTGTATGTGGCTGGGTGGGGTTTTCTTCCTCCCCCTTTCTTCTTCCTGGGTAGCATACAAACCTGTCTAAAATAACAAGAGGTGATAGCATCCTAATATATAGTGGGTGCCCACTAGATGGGAGATGTAGTGTGGAAGATCTGATTATTTTCAGCTGATGCACACAGAGGGAAGACCACTACTTGGGCTCTTTCCCCCTTTTCATCCTCATTCCCTGGGAACTGCATGAAGCAGATAAAGCTTAAGGATTGACAGACCAGAGTTTCCAACTGAGACCTGCAGAGCCAGGCAGGTCATGTACATGACATGGCTGGGTGTAGAAAGAGGTGATGGTATTACAAGATCCGCAGGAAATGGCATCTTTACTTTTCTTTGAGACTGCAATGGGCATGACGAGGACTCTGGTGAAATGGAGAGAACAGACCCCGCTTAGAGGGAAGACCCATTACTCAGTATCAGGTAAGTATTGCCATGAGGGAGTACAGGTTCAGTATTTTCAGATCTTTCCATTTATACAGGGAACCCAGAAATTTAAACATAAAAAATCTTTTGATGTTTAATGCTTGGCAATTAAAACAAATGGGGGCAATTAAAACAAATGTTAAGATAATACTCTGTGGGCCAACCAAAAAAGACTATTCCAGCAGGTTACAGCCTCTGGGCTAAAAGAACCACAGAGCTGTGGGGTCATAGGTGAGGGGAAGAAGATGATTCTTAGTCTAATGTGGAGGGAAAGAGAAAGCTAGAGAAACAGGACAGGTGAGCTATCCTGAATCTCCAACTCCCGGTGAACTCTGAAATGGATTGGAATGTAGGAACTGAATCTTAAATAAAGGATTGTTTAATGTGTGTGTACTTGGCCAACTTAACATAAGACCATCTGAAGCAAGAACATCCAACATAGTAATGTACATACTGTGAGGTTTACATTTGTATTTTAACAACCAAAGTTGTTCCTTTTACTTTTGCAAATAATATATCATAATCTGGTTCTTACCTAAATTTTGCATGAAAAGTATAATATATCTATGTAAATAAGAGAGCAAAGAAGCTTTCTAAATGTTTTATTTACTTATTTATTTATTTATTTGGAACAAATATTTCTGCACCTCTCAGGCTCTTCTTTCTTCCTGGAAAAAGGAGAGTTAGTGATACATTTGTTAATGCATTTAAAAAACTTTGGTATGGAGAAGTAATAATGTACTTCTTAGGTATGTTAATAATAAATTAAGGTTATAATAGTTGCCATGATAGAGAAAATGAATAATATTAGTCCAAGCAAAAAAAAAATTAGTTTGGAAGTGGATAAGCTAAGGATATCAAAACTGAAAAAACTTAGCTTCAGATAGCATTCTACTATACGTAATTTTTTGATGAATAATATTCAATTATGGTGTGCAATTCTTCACATACCATCTTACATATAGTAGATATTCAGCAAATGTTTGTTGAATTTTATTACTTTTTTTAACACAGTATTTTCCTCAGTAGTAATTTCTATAACTCAGATAAAAATTGAAATTTATAAGAGTATTTAGTTTTGTTTCTTGTAAAAGTATATTTTCTAAAGAAAATAGTAGCAACAGTAGAGACAGAGAAAAGAAAGTGTATGTATGTTCTAAAAAGTGATTCCAACTCAATTTATTCAGAGAAGAATACTTTGACTTGACAACACGCTGTCAGTATCCTCAGCCTCGTTCTATTTCTCTGTTTATTTTGGCTTTACAGAGTTTAGGTATTAAGTCATGGGAATCTCCAGGCTCTCAGGTGCTAAACTTCTCTGTTCTTTTGCTCATGCCTGGTTCAGAAGGACATGCCAGGTGGTTGGTGTAAGTGTTTCTCTTTCAGAGCTGAAGGAAGGATCTGGGCTATGGAGTCAGCAGAAAAAGCCTTGGCCTCCGTGACTCCTGGCCTCTCAACCCACCTTGTCCTGGACAGCCTGGAGACCTTTTTTACAACCGTGTACTGATTAGCTGTTTTAGGTCCATGTGCTTTGCAAAGCTCCTTTCTCCCACTGGGATATTATTAGACATAGCCAGGCTAGAAAGGCCATGGGAAGCTTTGGAGGTAGGAGGGTAGGATCCAGAAAGGACTGCATTATGAAGAAGGGAGTTCTCTTTGGTGAACTCCGTAGTCATAAGGTAGCCCTGAGCTGATTCCAGTTAGGAACCAAGGCTGGACTTTCTTCTCTGATTCTTTGGCCATTTTATTAATAGTTTCCCCAACTGGGGCCAGGATACATATCACGAAAGAAACCAGCCTCAGGTGGGTCTTCTCACTTCTTTCTCATCTAAACTTCAGCTTCCAGGCATCGCACCGTAGTTTTCGGTGGACTCTTGGGCTCTTCTGGGTTTTTATCAGTTTTCTTTGATTCCTCATTAGGATTGCTGTCATCAGCCTTCTCCTCCTTTACTACTTTGGTTTCAATCATTTCCTTCTGCTGATTCTTGTTTGTGAAAGGGAAAGCCTTCACATACCTTTAGGCATAAACATGACATTAAAGTGAGAGACTTCTATGTAACACAAATTACAGTAGATAATGCTTTGTCTGCCACAGCACATATTGGCCCAGTACGCTGGGTCCGTTTAGAGTGATGCTAACACATGCATGTTCAAATACATGAACACATCTCCACCTTAATGGAGTCATTTAAATTGGGCAGTATGTTCACAGGTCAGACTTTAGGCTGAATTCACAACGCTTCCACCAAAAACAAGAAATAAAAAAATCAAAGTATATAAATTTTCCCCAGATGTCCATTTTTCTTTTCATTTCTTGATTTTCAATGGACAGCCACTGACCAATATCTAAAGGCTAGATGACGTGCATGTACTGAAATAGTAGGAAAGATTGGGTGGAAGGGAGGAGAGGTGAGATGTATAAGAGGACTGCCATCTCCATTTTGACCAATAAAATGCCAATTACAACCCTAGAAAAACACAAGATAGGGAGGTGACAAAGATTACAAGACTAGTGATGTGCCAACAACCTCACCTTTTGACGTAGCAATATGCGAGACCAGCTGCGGCACCAAAGAAGAGGAGAGCCAGCACCAACAGAGCCGTGGGGACACCTGTAGGAAGCAGAGACATGGCCTGTTGGTCCTCTGTGTGTACATTGTGTGTGCTGCTCATCTAATGATCCAGGTGACTAAGACAATAGTGCAGGAGAAAAACCTTCTCTGCAACCCTTTATGTTGGTAGGGCCCCCTCATGCTTCTTGCCTGTAGAATCCTCGGCCTGGCATCTCACACTCTTTCTATTCTATAAGTTGCAGTATAACGAACGTCACTTCCTCTCTGTGGCCTTGAGACCCAACCTAGTCAATAAGACTGCCTGAGAAAGAGATGGCTGGGTAAAATCATAGGCATTTAAGATATATGTATTTAAAAGAACTTTCACATAGTAACAGATAGTAATTTGTTTTTAAGTCTTTGAGTTTTTAACAGGGAAGCCCTTGTATACTCATGATTTTTAGTTTCATCACTAAGGGTCTTTACAGCTCTCAAGTTTTATGACTTTATGGAAGTTGAGTTTGTGTTAAGCTTTGATTTATACCTGGCAGGTCCCGAATGCCCAGTCTGGAGACAGGCTGAGTTCTATGGACTGTCTGTAATATGTAAACACATACACACACATAATGCAGACACAGAAAGCATTTACCTCCAAACCCAGAAACTTCATTCTTGAATGACGCTTTATTTTCAATAGATGATTCAGTTTCCATAGGCATAGTGCTCGTTTCCGTATAAAATTCTGTGACACAAATCAATTTTTTTCTCCGTGGAATAGAAGTGGAAGCTGGAGCGCGAGGAGTGGCAAAGGCAGGAATCGTAGAGGAAGGGGATGATGCTGAGTATGTACTGTCACTGCTGATAAAATCTGTCATGTGTGTTTCAGTTTGAGTGTTGAATATGGGATCTTCGGTGGTGAGGATTTCTGGAGAGCATGAGTTAATCCAAATATCTGTCAGGAGAGGAAAATATGAATAGCAGCAGCTTCCTAACTGTTTTTCCTGCCTGTAGACTTATTACCCCCCAACCTCGTATGCTGCAGTTGGAATGGTCTCACCAAAATGCAGATCTAATCATATCACTTTTTTCCTTAGGATGCTTCAGTGGCATGCCACCACTGCATGGCTCCCACTGACATCGCCAGCTTCCCTGCTGTCATTCGCTCATTGCTCCTGCCATACTGAATTTCCTTCAGCTCCTTCATATGCTCTCTCTCACCAACACTGTGCTATGATGCTTTCTTCACTCTTTACCCTCTTTAGTTAGCTCACTCCAACTCATCCTTCAGGTCTCAGACTGACTATCTCTTTCTCAAGCAGACTTGTTGGCTAGATTGGGTCCCTGGGCATATGTTCTTGGACCTTCATATACTTCCCTTATCACAGTTCTCATTACACTGCTCCCCACTGAAGTGTGGGCTTCCTGAAAGCAGGAACCCTGACTGTCTTGGTCATCATGGTACATGTACTGTGCTTGGCACGTAGTACATGCTCAATAAATATTTGATGAATAAGGAGAGAAGGAAAAGTTAAAGGAAGGAGTAGATGGGAAGACCAAATATACGCATGTCATGCTACTTTAGGACAGAGGTCTGTGAGACCAGATTTTTATGTTCTCATTAAAAAAGGGGGGGAGTGTGGGGATGGGGGGCAGGACCAGGAGAGGAATGAGGGTTTGCTTTCCAATCTGTTGAATGTGGTAGAGAGAAAACTAACATTTGTTGAGCATCTTACTGGTCAACCATGGCACTAGATGTTTAAATAGGTATCTCACTTAACAATTTTATCAAACCCTCATTTATACAGGAGGTCACTGAAGTTCAGAGAAATTGAATAACTTACGTTATTCAATTGAAATTGAATAACTTACGTTACGTCATTTACTAGCTATGTGACTAGCTAGTCACGTAGCTAGTAAATGACAGAGCCATGCAATATATTATAATATGAATTTGTGTCTATTTTGAATCCCCAATTATTTGTGGCAGTGAGTAGCACCAGCTGGGATGTTAGCTATACAGAAAAAGTTATTCCATTAAGTTAATTCATTTTGAAAAATTAAATACCATTTAAGGTAATGGATATTACTGATAAAACATTTTGACTACACATGCACTGTTTTTATGTTCATTTCACTTTGAAAAGACCTCTATTTAAAAAGACATCATCCTTGACCTTCTCTGCCTTAAACTTTTAACTACCTTTCCCATTCTTGAGTACATGCTAAGTTCCCTCAGAAAAATGAAAATTTTGAGTGTCAGGGGAAAAACATACTGAGCTCAATATACTATGTTGAGAACTGAAAATAACAACAGAAAAGGTATGGTTCTGCTTCCAGGAGGACAGAGGAAGCATTTTGATAAGGGCAGGTGGAGATCACTGGGAATTCAGAGGAGAGGGCATTTGGGTAGAATATGGGGGATTAATGTGTTCATTCAGCAATTATTTATGAAGTACCAGCTCTGTGCCAGGTGCCACTCTAGGTGCTAGGGATATGGTGCAAACAAGACAAAGTCCCTTAAGGGGCTTGCATGCTATTGGAAGGATATAGATATTTCAAAAAATAATAAATAAGCCAAAAATTTCAGAGGAGGATAAATGTTGAAAAGAAAATAAAGCAGGATAGAGATTAAGGTGGTAGGGGTAGAGGATACTTTGGATAGGGTGATAAGAGATGGTCTCCTGGGGAGGTGATACTTAAGCTGAGACCTGAATGATGAGAAGTAGCCAGTCATTGAAGATCTAGGGCAAAATCATTCAAAGTAAAGAGAACAGAAAGTTCAAGAGCCAGAAGCTGAATGAACTCAGCCCATTTGGTGAATAAGAAGGTCAAATGACTGAAAGAGGGCAGTATCTCATCTAGGGGAGGGAACAGAATATCCCAGGCAATAGGAATAGCATGATCTAAAAATCTAGAAGTTTGAAAGTGTAGTCATGTTAGAAAAATGAGAAGGAGCACAGTGTAGCTGGAACACAGGGTGCATGTGAGATGGGGGATACAAAAGACTGCAAGCGGGAGATGAGACTAGGAATATAGGTTGGAGCCTGGGTATCAAGGTTCATAACTGCTATGTTAAAGAATTTGGAATTTATTCTGTAGGAGAGGGAATTTTCAACCCGGGTCTATAAATTTCCCAAATTATATACAGAAGTTCTCATATATGTCCACTTTTGTGTGCAAAATCTTTACAATTTACATCATATTCTCAAATGGGAAGTCACCCACTGCTACGGAGCAGGGGAGTGAAGTAATTATTAGTGGAGAAGCATGGACGATGAAATGCAGACAGGAGAGAGTACAATCCAGGAGCAACCAAGGAGGTTATGACAATGGCACAGAAATGGGAGAATTTCAGAAGTGCCTGGGATCCTAAAACTTAGATCTTAGAGGTCTTCTAGGAAGAAGTGATCCTCAATCCTGGCTGCAAGTTAGAATCATCTGGAAAGTTTCTAAAGAATACTGATGCCCAGGGCCCACCCCAGGCTTGTGTGTGACTGATGTGTGGTCATCAGCACAGAAGAGGCTACACTGGAACAGCATGGCTCAGTGCAGTTAGCTCAAGGTTTAAATCCCAGCTCTGTCCCTTATTGACTTAGTGACTTAGTGACTGCAGGCAAGGTCCACACTAAGCATCAATTACTTCTCCAAAAAGTAGAAATGATACACGGGTGTCATTTTAGGACTAATGAGGTAGTAAATGTCTAGGGCCTCGCATAGTGTCTGGGCATGATAGATAAGATCTGAAAGAATTCATTTCCTTGGCCTTTCTGTTTATACATGTGGTCTCCCACGGTATGAAGGAGCAACAGTAATCTGGTCCTGTGGTCCCTAATTGGTGGAGGGCACAGTGTAAGTAACCTGGAAGTGTTAGGGCCTGGTTCTCCTTCCCTTCCAAACTATGAACACAATTTCTCTAGGTGTGCTGAGTGCTCTGATAGATATTAAGCACAGAGTGTGGCTGGAGTTCCAGAGGATAGACGGGGTGAGGGGTATGGAAAGGCTTCCTAAGAAAATGGCACTTGAGATGTGATCATGCTCACTGTAACCTTGAACTCCTGTCCTCAAGTGACCTTCCTGCCTTGGTCTCTCAAAGCACTGGGATTACAGGTGTGAGCCATCGTGCCTGGCCTTGAGATTAGAATAAAACATAGGAGTTAGCCAGGTGATAAAGAGGGTGGGCTTTGTGGCAGAGGGAACAGCTGAAACAAATGGTGCGTGCAGAGCATTAACGGCACTTTGGTCTGGTCACCAAACTTCACAAAGCAATAAAAAAATTAATTTAGGATTAGGGGTGAGTTACTTTGATCCCCAAACCTTGCAAAGATAGCACTGAGAAAGATAATCAGGGTAAGGTTTAGGGTCAGGATTAGTGTTAGGTTTGCTCGGGTCCTCAAACCTCACAAGAGAGCAATTAAAAATGAAATTACAAAAAAAAAAAAATATTTAGGGTAAGGTGAGGATTAGCATTAGGATCAGGGTTAGGGAACTCTGATTCTCACCAAGATGCCAACACACACACACACACACACACACACACACACACTGGCACACACATTTTGAACATCTAGGTTTCTATCCTGATGAGCTATCTCCATGGATATGATGGATATGAAACAACATATGTTCAAGGTTATACACCTTAGCATTCCATAGAATAGAAAAAGATTGAAAATAGGCTAAAAGTCCATCATAGAGGACTGGTTGAATAAATGAGGATACAGCCACCCAATGGGGTGTATGCAGCCATTAAAGAATGAGAAATGTCCCAATGAACTGGTATTGAGTAATTTCTAGTATTTAAGTGGAAAAAGGCATGTGCAAAGCAGTGTATATGGTATGCTAGTTTGTAACAAGGGTAAATAAGACAACACACAGACACACACCTCTTTATACACACAGCAACACAGAGGGATGAACCAGAAATGAGTGAAAATAGTGGGAATAAGACTTCTCTGAATATACTTTCAAAAAAGTATACTTTGGACCATTGAGCCATGTACATTTTTTAGCTTCTCAAAAAAAATAAAAATTAAATAGGACAAAAGTCAAACCCTAAAATTGATCACAAATAGAGGCAAATAAACCTAATTTATTTCAAGATGATAATATAACTATATGGAGTAGCAAATTTTTTACAGTCACTTTTGCACCCAATTCTCTGACTGTACTTAGACGGATATCTTCTAAGGACTAAAAGATATGGAAAGAAATCTTAAATTTTACTCAGTAGGTTTATTTATTCCTAGTAATGTTGATTTTGTAATTTTTAAACTGTTGTAGGATAAGAATGTATTATTATTTATTAGGAACTAAGATTTTCAATATAAGAGAAGAGATACTAATATAAAACAAAACACCATGTTCCGTTCAACATAGGCATAGGTAAAATAAATAAATAAATAAATAAAAATAAAACAAACACCTAAGAAAAAACTTGAATTGTTAAATTTGAGTTGAAAAATCACTATAAACTCATATATATATAATTTATTAGCTGTCTACTGAAAAGGACTGAGAAGCAATGAAAACTCCAGTAGTAAAGGGAAAACTTGCATCCAAATCTTGGTTTCTAATTAACATTCCCCATTGAAAAGAAGCAGGACACTCCTTGGAGAAATAAGAGGCTGATTCCACATTTGGGGCAGAGAAAGTACAAAGTCTGGAACATGTACTGTGCCAGGAAACAAGGAATTACCCCAAAACTAATGAGATAAAGGACACGAAAGTCAATTAGAATGGGCTCCCATTTGCCAGATTTGGGACAATTTAAGCATCCAAAAAAATAAAAGAATAATAATTGTAAAATTGATTATAACATATTGAACAGATTGAATAAGTAATATGCATGTGCCCATGGTACTATAAGGGGGAGGGAAAAGGTGTGTGTGTGTGTGTGTGTGTGTGTGTGTGAGTGAGAGAGACACACAGAGAGAGAAAGAGATTCTTCACCAAAGATGCCAACTAATAAATGTAGAAGGAAGGACAGATTTAGAAAAATCACTATTTTTCAGCCTCCGATATAATAATTGATTCCAGTAAGGATCATCAGTGGCTGATTAAATTACTAGGTAATAGTTCATTAGGGGTCAGGATATTTGCATGATGTGAAAATACCACATTATAGATTACCCTACTAATTTCAAAGGGGAAGATATATTGTTATATTATAGTTTTGTTAGAGAGATCTGGCAGTCACTGCCTTAATCAAATAATCAAAGTTAGCATAACTAAGAGTGAGACATAGTAACGATAAGCGCCTTCTGTTGTGATAGGCCCTAAAGTGCACAATATCATCTATGAAGTACATTTCGGCAAAAATATTGAACATGAGACTACTTAACCTCTAGACCTAACTTTCAGTATACAGGAAATACAGATGATGGGAGTACAAGGTAAATGAAACCATGAGGAAATAGACAAATCCAAGCCCTCTCCCCTGGCTCTTTTCTGTTTAGTCCGGAGGGCTGGCTACCATAGTAGCATCACAGTGACAGCTGGCAGGAAGGGTAGGCAGATGCAAGGCAAGGCCACTTGACAGGCACGGACTAGCTGTGAGATAAGCAGGCATGTAAATCACCAATTCCCCAGCGAAGGATGACAGGACAAAGGGGCAGAGAAGGAAGGGGACTGGTGAAAAAATGCTGGAAGAAGCCTTATGTTCCAACCTTGACTCTGCCACTAACTGACTGTAGGACTTTGAACAAACTAAACCCCCTTTCTGAACTATAATTGTGTCATCTGTGAAGTGAGAGAAGGGGGCAAAGTTGTCTCTAAGGGACTTTTCTGTGCTGAAGCCCTCTGGTTCAGAGAACTGCTTGGATCCTATATTGCCTTCCCGGGACAGGCTTTGCTAATGTTGGCTGTGCCCATTTGTCTCTTGGATCTTAGAGAAGGATTTTGAAATCTATCCTTCGTATGAACGCTCAACTGCCTAACCTTTAGAAGGTCAGATATATGAGTATGTGTGAAGAGTAATAAATCAGACAGGGTTCTCAGACAAACTGAGAACAAGTGAGTATTTAGTAACAGAAAAATCTTCTGAGCAATTACTTAGGTGAAGCACTTGGACTAAGGCAGCCTGGCTCTCTAAGCAAGGTTGATGAGCTGACTGCATGGCCACGAGTAAATCAGTTCTACTCTCTAGGCTTCGATTTCTTCCTTCATAAAATGGAGATTGGGTCTTGTTCTTAAAAGTGTCAAAGGCAGCATGTGAGTTTCCTCTCCTAAAGAGGAATGTGGGACCGTGTGGAAAGAGCACAGTTTCAGGGTTAGACCTGAGTGTGAACCTTTACAGTAACGAGACCTTAGGCACATGTACTTATGTCCTCTGAGCTATGTTTCTTTATCTGCAAAATGGGGATAGTAAACACACCTCATAGGGAAGTTGCCACAGTCAGTGCGATAACCTAGTACAGTCATCCCTCCGTATCTGGGGGTTCTACATAGGCGAATTCAACCGACCGCAGATGAAAATATTTGGAAAAAATTACTGTCAACAAACAATACAGTATAGCAACCATTTACACTGTATTATGTATTCTAAGTAATCTAGAGACAATTTAAAGCATACAGGAGGATGTGCATCAGTTATATACAAATACGACACCATTTTATATCAGGGGCCTGAGTATCCTCAGATTGTGGTATCTGAGGAGACCCTGGAACCAATAGCCCATGGAACTGAGGGAGAATGTACATGGCTTTGCCCATAGTGGATGCATTACATACATTTGTACGTTTTATTTCTTCCTCTCTTCCTGATTATCTTGTAGGATTTGGGTAGTGGTGGTAGTAATTGAGCCTCCCGAATGCCCTCTCCCTGTGCCCTCTCCCTGGGTTGCCATGCAGTCATGTTTTTCCTAAGTTTTCCCCCTGAGTGCCATGTTGCCACCTCTAGCCTGGTCAGAGAGACAGTCTTGGGAGAATCAGATGACCATCGCCATGATTGCTTCCGTGGCTCAGGGTTACTCTTCCCAGGCAGGTCACAGAGCTAGAGATGCCCAGAGAAAACATGCCACATGGAAAGGCTGCAGATCTAACTTACCAGATGCGTTGTGACAGTAGGCCCCGAACCTTTGGCTAACTGTAGCTCTCCAAACTAGGACGCCTATCCCATTCTTCCCACACTTGGGGTTTGGGAGAATCCGAGGGATGACGGAGAATCTGTCTTCAACCCATCCATAGCTGTAAAAGAATAATCGCTAGTTGAACAGACAAATGATTAGAAGGCATCGTCTCTACTGCTGAGCAAGAACACAGAGCTCCAGCAGTAATAGTGAATTCAGCTGTTTCTCACCTGCAAGTCTCAAAGCCAGCCTTCAGTGCCGCTTCGACCTGGTTTCTGCTGGCCAAAGTCATTCCCAGCAGCCTGCAGGCCTCCTTGGCTTCTGTGAAATTCAGCTGCTGGCCTACCTTTTTGTTCACAAGGGTGATCCCCACAATTCTACATGGCAGCGAGATGGAAAGATCTGCAAAGGAATCACATGGGTCTTCAGTTTGCTGCTGTCCTTGTTCCCAGCACTCAGGCTCTCCTTCCTAGCAGAGCATTATTGTCTTGATGCAGCAATGAGCTCTGTCTGGCTGGGATTCGGATTTAGAAATAACAGGACAGTCCACATATATCCCACAAGGACAGCCTGCTAAGTTAGATGGACGCTCCCTCTGGTCCAAGCTGTAAATCTTACTTGATAGAAGTCCATCCTATCCCACTGCATTAAGATGCCTTGCTCATCATGGGTGGGATCCGGGGAGGAGGGGGGGAGGCTTCAGTTACCAGTTCCTGGGGTGGAGTCTAGATGATGCAGTTGCTGCAAACCTTTTTGGAGTCTATTAAATGAAGCATCTGAGACTTTGAGAAAGATAGAATTCAGGACTCTATAGAATAGGTAATAATACTCCAAACCAATGTGGTTTGGGGACGTCGCTATTTCTGAGATGGGCTGAAAATGTATTTGTTATAACAGAATGTGAGTGCTCTTAGTTCCAGTCTTCCCTGACCATTGGGGGGCAGGCTTACCCAGAAGTTCTTAGAGGATCTGGGCAGAAAAACTAAATAAAGGAAGTAGAGTCAGATCTGGGCTTCTATGTTGCTTGCTAATTCTGTGACTTTAGGCTAAATACTTCATCTCTTTGAGCCTCAGTTTTTTTATTTATACAATGAAGAGAATAATAATATGAACTGCACAGTGTGGTGAAACTAAATGAGTAAATTCTAATGAAACGCTTAGCATAGTGCCTGCCACATATAGTAGGTACTCAATAAATCATAGATAACATATTATCATTGTTATCTTTAAGGCATTTTAGTTTTAGTCTACTAATGACTGATTTCCCTAGGAAAGCTGAGGCTGTGGAACAGGTAAGATGTGAATAATATCTCTATAAAAATCTAATGGCTTTGGAGTTCTTTTGACCCTTTTCCTCCAGGTTCTGGGATTTGTGGACTTGTATGAAACTGCCAAGTTGCATTGTATTTTGGTACATTATTCCTACTGGGCTTCATCCATGAAAGTCCATAAAGAGCGTTTCAATCTCCCTGTATATAATTGCTTATACACAGGGCTGAGTATTGGCCGCCCAAATGCTTAGGCCACTTTCTAGGTTGGTATTTAAAGGAAGTTTCTTTTTGCAAATATTGAGGGAGCATTTCTACAAGTCTTCCATGTGACCTTGTTGTGTTCTGGAGCAGGGGCTGGGGGTCTCAAACTCCTGAGCTCAAGCGATGCTCCTGCCTCAGCCTCCTGGGTAGCTGGAACTATAGATGTATGTCACTGCACCCAGCTGTGAACCCCAGTTCCTTGACTATGACACTGTTCTGCCTTCTACTGTGCTACAGGGGACTGAACACACACAGACACACACACACACACACACACACACACACACACACACACACAAGCTGAACTCTCTGAACACACCATTTATCCTAGAATGTGGCTCCTTTATTGCAAGACCTTTCTATTGCTCAGATCTCTTATGGCTGCTGCTTTGGGAATTGAGAAGGTTTATTTATTACACTATAAAGTAGTCTTGCTACTCTCTCATCGTACTTCATTTTTACTCTAAATATTATGAGAGTAATGATAGACTTATTCTTGGTGAATAGGCCTAGTTTGGGCCTCGCTTTATTCTATCGATAACTGGCTGTTGGGATGTTGGGCAAGTCCGTATTCTCATCTGTAGAATAGTGGTGGCTATATCTTCCTCACATGATTTTTGTCAGAATTAAATTAGATAACTTGTACCTCGCAGAGGCTGGGTCCAGTAGGAAGTCATCAAATATTAGCTATTTTATGTTCTCCTATTTCATTTAGGGATAAAACGAGGAAGCCAGAATCCAAGGGGTACTCCAGTAACCCCTTTCTTAATATTTCTTAGGAAATTGCAAACATAGTAGACATAGTATACTTAGGAGTCAAATATATGTATATAATATCAGCTAATAGTATTGCTTAGGAATCAGAGCTGAATTTAAAACCAAATTTTATAATTTACTGCATGCATGATATTGAGCAAGTCACTTAGCCTCATTGAGCCTGTTTCTTCATCTATAAAATGTCTTCTTGAGAGGATTATATGAAATTGTATATATATACCTACCTCTGGATCTCTATATAATTTGCCCTCAAAAATAGTTCCCATCCCCCTTCACTCACCTTCATCAGCCACCTTATTCCACAATCATGGTGATGATAACTTTTGGCTGTTTCCAAAAATTTAATATCCTTAGGAAATTTTTGCCATTATTGAGGATGGTCCAAAGAGTGTGATGCAGTCGTTGGCAAAGAACAATTTCCAAAATAGTTGAAATAATGGCAGCATTGTGCAGAAAAGCAAATAGTCTCCCCAGAGCGTTTCAAAGAGGAGAAAACTTATTTAAAGTAAGAGTTCTGGTATTTAAAAAAAGTCATATAACTCTAACCTCCCTTATAAAATTTAATACAACAATATATGAATAAAGTCTGGGTATATGTTTCCAACATATTTTATATCTCAGGGCATATTCCAGCATAGGAACATACAATTTTCCTTTTAAAGTGCTGAGATTTTCATTTGCCCAGAGCTGCAGTGAGTGATTTGTGGTTACAATTTTTTTGTCTACAGTGCAGAATTAGGTTTTCCATTTAGGCATCTCAAAAGCCCAGAAATCACTTTAAGTCATTCTTTTGGTAGGGAGCTGATGGCTTAAGTTTCAAACTTATAGTTTCACAGATTTTTTTCAGTTAATTTGCTACTTACTGCATATTAAAAATGTTGCATTCCATTTGTAGTATGGCAAAATTGAAATTAAAATAATTATGGTGACACTCCCCCAAACAAAAAAAAAAAGTAGGCCAACATTTAGTGAAAGTTACCAATTATTCCTAGGCTTAGTGATTGCTTTAAATATTTTACAATCATGGTTTTCTTCTTCAACTGAAACCCTTTTAAAAACAAATTATTTCTCTTCAATGTTTTAAGATATTCTCATTAAAAACATTCCATAACCAAAAATAAAAGTCCAGATGACCTAAAGGAAAATGTAAATAATTTTGGTGAAGTTGACAATATGGTGAAAACATTTCTGGCAGAGCAATACTACTATTGAGACATGCTGTTGACATTGAGGGTTACACTCATTCCCAGTAATTCATAGTCAAGAACTTAGTAGGCTTAGGACAGTTTGCAAGATCTTGCCTTGCCTTATCAGTTTGGAAATCCGGTGAGAAACCTACCTTTTACACGGAGAGAGCCTTGGACCAGGGGCCTCGTGGTCCAGATGGAGGCAAGAAGCAACAGCAGGCTGAAGCCTTTGGCCATTGTGCCAACCCCTTAGAGCCAAGGAGACACCCCAGATGGCCACTGGCAGTACGAGAGGCAGATGCTCAATCTCTGGTCTGGATGGAGAGTTCTGGAAATCTGTTGAGGCTCACACTGCTCCACTTCACAACTGAGACATCCGGATTTCCCTGCTTTCAAGCTTCTGACTTGTCAAGGTCACTGGGGGAAATGAGTGACGTCCCTTGAATGCTCAGGCTGTACTTTGTGGATGGCTTTCTGGAAAATGTAGCTAATGCTGACTCAGAAAGCACACAAATGAGGAAGGCAGATAGCACAGTGTGAACTGCTGAAGGTTTTCCCGATTCCCATATTCCCTGCCACTCCCCCTCCTCCACCAGCTCAGTTCTCACACCATTCATTGTTATTGCCAGTGGAGCTCATTCATTATATACAAGGGCTGTCCGGAAAGTATCCAGCCATGTAACCATTCTCCTTATACTAACAATTGCTAGATACTTTCTGGACAGCCCTCATAGTCCTAGAAATGTCTCTGTCTCTAAAGGATTTTGAGCATAGGCTGTGCTTCTTTTCCTCCCCCAAATCAGTGATTTTTTTTTCTTCTCCCAGCTACCTTGTGATCTCTGGGGTATGATGTTGAAGCTCATGAGAATAAATGCCCATTTAAATACCAAGTCCAGAACCTTACGCTTTCCTTGGGGTCTTCTTTTAGACATTCAAAATCTCCACACCACTACAGGTGATTCTCTTTTCAAAGAAACCAGGCACATATATTCATATTTAGAGGCTGGGCATGGTGGCCTGTAATCCTAGCACTCTGGGAGGCTGAGGCGGGTAGACCGCTCAAGGTCAGGAGTTCGAAACCAGCCTGAGCAAGAACAAGACCCTGTCCCTACTAAAAATAGAAAGAAATTAATTTGCCAACTAAAAATATATAGAAAAAATTAGCCGGGCATGGTGGTGCATGCCTGTAGTCCCAGCTACTAAGGAGAATGGGGCAGGAGAATCACTTGAGCCCAGGAGTTTGGGGTTGCCGTGAGCAAGATTGATACCATGGCACTCTAGCCCAGGCAACAGAATGAGACTCTGTCTCAAAAAAAAAAATAAAAATAAGAAATAAAAATTCACATTTACAAAACACAACTGGGGGGGGCGGCAATATACAAAATTAAATCATTTTACATTTTACAAAGAGATTTTTGACTTTACAATAGTAATCACCACAGAGTTTCTTTATATAACAACTTTCTATTTAATAACTTCTCTAGTATTCTGGTAGACCAAAATTCAAATTTAGACTCCACCTTTTTCATTTGATGAATGTGAGGCATATCTGTGCTGTGCAGAATGCACTCTGTTTTCCCAGATGGATTTTCAGTGGTTTGTCCTGCATGGTAATTACGGAGTTCTGGCTTGTGAGCAATGTCTTGAGGAAAATCTTATCAGTTTTCTCCAAAACAAATGTCTTTTATAGGAATAATGTGTAGATAATGTTCTTTTTTTATATAAGTAGTATTGATCATCAAGTTAGATAACTATGTGGAAAACATCAATAACAAAAAGAGAATCTGCTCAGCACAAAACAGAAAACTTCTAAGAGACCAGGAAAATAGTCCCTAAATATCTCCAATACAGACTTGGGTGAGCACAGCCCTAGGCTCCTAGTACCTCAGAAACATTTGTGACTCTATTATGATGGTACCAGTAGACAGAGAGGCAGGAATCATGTCCTCTTCATAATTATCTTTAAAGCCTAGCACCATGCCCAAAAGAGAGCTGACTCTCAAGTATTTGTTAAATTATTACAAAAAGAAAGAAGGAAGAAAGACAGGAAGGAAAAAAAATGAATCACAGAGGGCTCAGCTTTGGATAAGAGAAATAACTTATGAGAAATGAGACGAGTACCTAAATTTCAGAAACGAATTGCTAGAGGGGCATCTATTGGATAAAGGGAGTCTTCATGATTGTATTGGTGCTTAATAATGAGTTTCTGGAAGAGGAAATCTTATCTTTTTGAAAATCCCTATTCAGAGAATTTAAGCGATCATTGAGATGTGATTGAAAATTCTTGATTGGAACTTGCTGCCTCTCTTGTCACATTTGAATATGCCCAGTCTCAGCTTCTAGGCCTCTCATCCAAGATAAGCTTCTGAAAAGTTTGTTGCCAAGAGCTAAAAGCCAAAGTGGAGAACCATAAAGAATATATTGCCAGATAATCTCTCTTGACCATTTTGAGGAATGATGTTCAGGATATGGAAAAAGAATAAGCGGTTCTGTCCACTTCTGAAATGACAGCTTGTGCTGCAATCAGTCAGAACCAGCAATTAAAGAAGAAAGTTGTAGAATTAGAAGAGAAATTTGAAAAATGAAAATGAAAAGAACAATCAAGGTTCAAAAGAGAGCAGGAAGCCTGGAATATTCAGGCCAGTTTTCATGTTCTCTGAATATGGAAAACAAGATTGAAAGTTATGTTTAATCTGATATATGCAAATACAAATTTAAATAGAGCAGAAATTTTGAAATGTGTTATGAAGGAAGGAAATATGGTACCATTCAGAGTACCAGATTGGGGGTAATATCTAAATTTTAGTTTCAGTTCTAACACTAATTATCTGTGTGACTTTGAACAAGTCAGTTCATTTCTCTGGGCCTTAGTTTTATCGTCTGCCAAGGAAAGGAGTTGCATTATATGAACTTAAAAATAACATAGCAATATAATTCTATGGTACGTGATATTCTAGGGATTAGTTATCTAAATATGTGTGTGTGTGTGTGTGTGTGTGTATGGACAAATGTATTTGTCAGTGTAGTCTAACTGCTATGCCAAACAACTCCAAATCTCAATGGCTTAACAAATTAAAAGTTTATTTCTCTCATGTTACAATCCAATGGCTGACGGGTGGTGGTGGTCGTGGTGGTGATGGTGGTGATGGTGGGGTGTGTCTGTTGGAGGGATTCTGCCACACACAGTTATTCGGAGGCTGAGATTCCTTCCGTCAGTCCCTGTGTAGCTTTGCCATCACCTCCAAGTTTTCCCCCAAGATCTTCACATCGAGGCAGCAACCAAGGAAAGAGAGTTCAGAGGATTGTGCTGGAGATTGCTTTAGCGCCCAGGCCTGGGAAGCGGCTATATCACTTTCAGCAATATTCTATCATAACTTTGTCACATGTTCCCACCTAACTGCACTAACTGCATAGGAGTTGTAATCTAGCTGTGTGCCCAGGAGTAAAAGGAAAAATGATTTGGTGAACACACAGCAGTCCCTGCCACAGTGTGTCCTTCTACTCACCCAATACAGGGTTCAGTATTCCTCCTACATGTAGAATACAGTACTCTGTTCTCAAGGGAGATGATCCCAGGTCCCATCCACCTCAAAGTCCATAACCTCTGAGTTATGCTCGGTGTTCCCTATCAGGTCCAGCTGTGGCACTTTGAGGTGTGGTGATCTATGAACCAAAAAGGTTATATGCCACTCCCCAAATATCATGGTGGAGCAGGATCTGGATGACCTCATCAAAAACTCACACATGTAAGGGGGAAGAATGGGGAGCACAAAAAGCACCAGTCATGGTATTTCTGGAATACCAATGAAAGGACATTACAAAGGCCATTATATCAGTTTTCTATTGCCATTAAGAAATGACCACAGGGTGACAGGCACACTTATAATCATGTCTCAAGCATTATAAAAACAATTCATGTAACTGAAAATATTTGTATTCCTGTAATACTTTGAAATGAAAAAAATCTCATCAAACTATAATTCTCAAGACAGTGTTTTGTAAATGTTATTTAATCACATAAGTAACCTTTTATATTTCATTATCTATAAATATCGTGTTACAATTTGAAAATATATCCTGTTTAGCAATAAAGAATTTTGTCAACAGCTAAAAAACAAACAACAAAAACACAAATTACCACAGACTTATCTTAAAATAATACCATTTATTATCTCACAGTTCTTCTATGTCAGAAGTCCAGGTGGGCTCAGCTAGGTCTCACACGACTGTGACCAAGGTGCTTGCTGGGCTGGGCTCTTACTTGGAATCCACTTCCAAGCTCATTCAGGTTGTGGGCAGAATTCATTTCTTTGAGGTTGTAGGAATGAGGTCCGTGGGTGTCAGCTGGGATCCATTCTCTGCTCGCAAGGGCCCTTCCATTTTCAAAGCAGCAATGACACACAGAGTCCTTCTCATACTTCCAATCTCTTTGCCTTCCACAACTACCATTAGCCAGAGACAGCGCTCTGCTTTTAAGGGCTCGTGAGATTACCTTGAGTCTAGCTGGATAATCTCCCTGTCTTAAGGTCAACCATACCATGTGTGCAACATAGTAACAATAGTGATAGCTCATATTCAAAGGCTCCAGAGATTGGAGTGGGACATCTTTGGAGGGCCTTTCTAGAAATTCTGCCTCCCACAGTCACCGACCCTTGATTAGATTCTGATTCCACTTCCTGGGAGAAACTCCCATGTCCACTGTTCTCTGTGGCTGTCCACTGTTCTCTGTGGCTGTTCACTGTATATAATCTTTCTTGGCCACATTTGAAGTGGATGTTAGGGAGTACCTCCTTGGGGGTACCTCCTTGGGGGTGGCACAGCTTTTGCACTCTGCTTCCTGATGGCATAAGTTTAGGATCCTAAAATTTGTTTTCTTAAACTAAAAAAAAAGTGTTAACATATAATAGTATATATTTATGGGTACATAGTAATGTTTTGATACAATGTGTAATGATTGTGGATAATTAGTATATCCATCATCTCAAACATTTATCATTTCTTTGTGTTGGGAATGTTCAATATCCTCTCTTCTACTTGAAAAAATATATTGTTAACTATAGTCATCCCATAGTTGTTCCTCCTATCTAAGTATAAGATGCCCTTTCCAGCTTCTAATATCCTCTGTTCTACTTTGTACTTCTATGAGATCAACTTTTTTTTAGCTTCCACATATGAATGAGTACCTACAGTGTTTAACTTTCTGTTCCTGGCTTATTTCATTAAACATAACAGCTTCCAGTTCCATCCATGTTGCCCAGTATGACAGGATTTTATTCCTTTTATAGCTTAAAAGTATTCGTTTGTGTATATATTTTTTAACCCATTCAACTGTTGTTGAACACTTGGGATGATTCCATATCTTGGCTATTGTGAATAGCGCTGCAAGAAACATGGGGGTGCAGGTATCTCTTTGTTATATTACTTTTCTTTCCTCCCAAAAGTTGTTTTCTAACTTGGTTCTTACAATGAAAGGCATTTTTAGTGCTGGCTGGTGTTTGTTTGCAAATACAATTCCCAAAAACAAACTTAAATTTCTGCTACCATTTGATTCCATATGCCAATAATCATTCTCCAAACCCTTTCCCAGTCATAATGCTCAAGAAGTATTTCTTTGCTTTCTTAATTCCATATCCTTCTAATTTAATGGTAGATATACTGAGTTCATTTTAAACCACGTCCTTAATCTAGTCTCTGTCACAAGGCTGAGTGGATCTGTTCAACTGAGAAATTCCCAATCACTCCTAAAGCTATAGGCTACCTGCTTTTCAAGTCATCACAGCTCAACTACCAAACATTTTTGTTTTATTCACAACATGGGTCACAATCTTCCCAGCCTTTGACATCAGTTTTCTTGTTTCCTGCCACTTGATTGGTAAGCCAGGGCTTCATATTTTAGAATTTTGTTATTGAAGCACCCCATTTGCATTAGTCAGGGAAGGCTATATAATAAACATTTCTTAATGTTCATTATAGGCTTAATACACTAAAATTGTGTTTCTCACTCATTCGCAGTTCAGTGTTGTGAGCGCCCATTCAAAGACCCAGCTTCCACCTGGGTCTGCCATTTTCTTGGTTCTCGGAGTTCTCAATTGAATCCTCTGAATTTGGTAGACAGAGAGGAGAATAAAGAGAATGTAGGCATTGAGCAGAAGAATTTATTTTTAGGGAACTATATCTGGAAGGGCCACATTCCCCTGCATCTAGCTGCAAGAAAGACTCCAAAATGTAGTCAAGTTGTGGAAATCAAGTTGGTAAAAACTCAGCAGACACAAATCACAGCAAAATGTGTTGACTAAAAATATCATTTGCTGTGTAGTTTTTTAATTTAATTAAGTGCCATTTATTTTTATTGCTGCTGTGTTTGCCCTTGGAATCTTAGTCATAAATTTCTTGCCCAGGCTTATGTCTAAAAGAGGTTTTCCTACATTTTCTTCTAGAGTTTTTGTGGTTTCATGCCTTACATTTAAGTATTTTATCCATTTTGAATTATTTTTGTATACAGCAAAAGAGAGGGATTCTGTTTCATTCTTTTGCATGTGGCTATCTAATTTCCCAGCACCATTTATTGAATAGGGTGTCCTTTCCCCAGTGTATGTTTTTGTCTGCTCTATCAAAGATCAGTAGGTCATAGCATCATATGGTTTTGTTTCTGGGTTCTCTATTCTGTTCCCTAGGTCTATGTCTCAACTTTTATACTAGTACTATGCTGTTTTGGTTACTATAACCTTGTAGTATAATTTGAAGTTAGGAAATGTGATGCTTCCAGTTTTATTCCTTTTGCTTAAGATTGTTTTGGCTACTTGGGCTCTTTTTTGGTTCCAAATGAAGCTTAGGGTTATTTTTTCTAGATCTGTGAAATAAGATGTTGGTATCTTGATGGGAATTACATTGAATCTATAAATTGCTTTGGACAGAATGGACATTTGTAACAATGTTGATTCTATTAATCCATGAGCATGGGATGTTTTTCCATTTGTTTGTGTCATCTGCAGTTTCTTTCATCAGTATTTTGTAGTTTTGCTTGTAGTGATCTTTCACCTCCCTGGTTAAGTATACACCTAAGTATTTAATTTTCTTCATGGCTATTGTAAATGGTACTGAGTCCTTGATTTGACTCTCAGCTTGATTGTTATTAATATATAAAAATGCTAATGATTTGTGCACATTGATTTTGTAAACCAAGACTTTGCTGAATTTACCAGTTCTAGGAGTCTTTTGGTGGAGTCTCTAGGGTTTTCTAGGTACAAGATCATATCGCTGGCAAACACGAATAGTATGACTTACTCTTTCCCAATTTTGATGCTTTTATTTCTCTTGCCTGATTGCTCTGGCTAGGACTTCCAGTACTATGTTGAACAGGGCAAAAGACATGAACAGAATTTTTTCAAAAGATTGACAAATGGCCAACAGATGTATGAAAAATTCATCAGGGACATGTAAATTAAAACCACAATGAGATACCACCTTACCCCTGTCAGAATGGCTACTAAAAAGTCAAAAAACAACAGATGTTGGCATGGATGTAGAGAAAAAGGTATGATTATATACTGTTTTTCCATTTTCAATGTAAAATGGTTTGGAGATTCCTCAAAGAGCTAAAAATAGACCTACTATTCAACCTCTCAATCTCACTATTGGATATCTACCCAAAAGGAAAATAAATCATATTATCAAAAAGACACATGCTCTCAAATGTTTATGACAGCACAATTCATAATTGAAAATATATGGAATCAACCTAAGGGCCCATCAATACATGAGTGGATAAAGAAAATGTGGTGTACATACACAGCATGGAGTACTACTCAGCCATAAAAAAGAATGAAATAATGTCAATTGCAGCAACTTGGATGGAACTAGATACCATTATTGTAAGGGAAGCATCTCAGGAATGAAAAAACAAACACCACATGTTCTCACTAATAAGTGGGAGCTAAATGTTGGGTGCACATGGGCACAAAAAGAAATAAAGGATATTGGAAGCTAAGAAGCAGTGAGCATGGAAGTGGGGTTGAGGGATAAAAACTTACCTATTGGCTGGGTGCAGTGGCTCACGCCTGTAATCCTAGCACTCTGGGACACCGAGGCAAGTGGATGGTTTGAGCTCAGGAGTTCAAGACCAGCCTGAGCAAGAGCAAGACCCTGTCTCTACTAAAAATAGAAAGAAATTAGCTGGATAACTAAAAATATATATAGAAAAAAGTAGCTGGGCATGGTGGCACATGCCTGTAGTCCCAGCTACTAGAGAGGCTAAGGCACGAGGATCGCTTGAGCCCAGGGTTTGAGGTTGCTGTGAGCTATGCTGATGCCATGGCATTGTAGCTCAGGCAACAGAGTGAGACTCTGTCTCAAAACAAAACAAAACAAAACAAACTTACCTATTGGGTATAATGAACACTGTCCTGGTGGTGGGCACAGTGAAAGTCCTGACTTCAGCATTATACAATATATCCATGTATTAATAACAAAAGCTTTTAGATCCCCTTAATATTTTGAAATTTAAAAAAATCATATACCAGGAAGATATGGGAAACTAGGATCAAGAATGGGGAAGGAGAAAAGGGGAGGAGGTGATCCAGCCCCTGTGAGGCTGACCACAGTATAATACCCCAGAGTTGGGGACCCCTGCTCTGGATCTGGGAGGCACTAAAATATCTAATTCAGGGTTGGGGTAAAACTGTGGCTCAGCTCCATAAAGTGAGGAGGCATTTGGCGAGCTGCCAAAGGTTTGGAAATGTGCTTTTATTTTCAAACTCAGGTATGTGACATTCTACAATTCAATGCTAGCACACCCACATGAGGCTTCATAACAGTGGGAACTGGTGGCCAGTAATACACAAATCCAGCATCTCCCTCTCCATTTACTCTGTCAGGTTGTACACGGGGAGCAACACATTTCACTTTGTGGCAGTCAGAAAGGGAAGGTCCTTTTAGGGGGTGACGTCAACAATGGCACAACACATCACTCTGTAACGGAAGGTAGGCAACCAGACTCCCAGGGCTAAGCAAAAATGTGAGACTTCAGAGGCATTTGGAGAGGAACTTTTATTTCAGATCAATGTCACCGTTGGATATACAAATGCGACCTGTTTCTCTCCATTTCACTACTGCTTTGGCAGCAGCTTCAGCTGCTTCAGGTTGATCTTTCCTTTCCAGCAAAGACATACCAATGAGCACATTTTCAACAATGGCCTTGTAAATGTGGCTACTCTTTCGCTCCCTTTTGGAGATGTCCTTTTCCTCGACCTCCCTTTACTTGCAAATGGAGTAGTGCAGGAGAGGGCCTGTGCCCGGGAGTACTCCTGCAGGCCTTTCTGTGGAGCGGCTGGAGGTACAGGAGCTCTCTGCATCTGCTCACTACACCTGCTCTCCTGGCCTTTGACTCACCTGGAAAAAAGATGGGAACCTGTGGCCAAGTGGACAATAGGGCATCTCAGCCTGGTCCTCCTTTAACGGAGGCTGAGACTGGAAATTGCCCACCTAGAGACCTGCCCCACAGCCATTCTCTGGAACTCCATTTGCAGCCCGTCTTTGGCTCTGATGGCCTCATGTAGCTAAAGCTCCTTTGGTTGTATCTGGACCCCTTGAAAGAGGCCAGGTCAACCATTCACCCATGTCCCCAAAGTCCCTCTGCTTTGTACCTCTTTACCTTAATGGCACATCCTGGGCCAACCCTGGCATAGGCTCCTCTCACAGTCATTTTTGGCCACTATAAAGGATTCTCCTTCAATAAACATGCTGCTTTAAAGTGGGACATCCTTTAAGGTGGGGGTCTCTCTGAAGGGATAGATTGCATTGAGCCCAGTCCTTGAGCTTGTAAATGGTCTTGCTAGTCTGGCCTCATTCCTGCTCTCAGAATAGGCTGAGAAATATTAGAGTAAGCTGTGGTTAAGAAATACGCTAAGAAAGATGGTGGTGGTATTGGTGCTAGTACTGGGAAGCACGCAAATTGTTAGCTGTCCCAGGCTGCTCTCCACCACCTTGAATGTTCACTTGTTCTTTTGATCACTCTGTAACTGATCAAAATGACAGTTACAAAATGACACCCTCCCAAGTATCAGCTGCCATGCTAGGCACTTACCCAAGAGATGGGTAAGACATAGTTCTTGTCTTTGAGGAAAAATGCCAGGGGATGCAGATAAATAGGTTATTGTGATATATTGTAGGCAAAGGTCAGTAACGAAAATATTTAGAAAATTCTGGAAAGCACAGAGGAGGTTGTATATGGTGGAGAATGGGGAAGGGAGGTCATCAAAGCTTGTATGGAAGGGATGATTTGTGCACTTGGTCCTGAAGAGTGACCAGAAGAGAAGAACTACTGGAGGAAAAACTAGTGAATAGAGGTCCTGAGCTGCAAGAGAAACCATTTAGTTTGGGAACCAGAGATGGAGTAGCTGTAGGGCCACATGGAGGAGGAGGACTGGACTGCAAGGCATCCAGGTAGGAGACCATCAGAAGAGGCAATGAGCACAGCTCTGGAGCCAGCCTACCTGGGTTTGAGTTCTAGCTCCCATGATTTACTAGCTGGGTGTCCTTAGCAAGTTTCTTATCCTGCTTGTGCTTCAGTTTCCTCATCTGAAAATGGGAAGAGTAGTACCCACCTCATAGTTTTCTTCTTTTTCTTGAAGACTAAATTAATTGATAACTATGGAATACTGAGAACAGTGCTTGGTTCAAAGTAAGTTCTATAGGAGTGTCAGCAACAAAAGCAAACAATATCAGTAACAAAAAAACAAAAGCAAAACAACTATAACAAAACCCACATGGAAACCAACACCCCCAAAACTGATGAGGGCTGAATGAAGGCAGTGGCTGTAAAGGTCAGGAGAGAAGTCCAATTGGAGATTGGAAATGCTTTTTCACTTTTATGCTAAACAATTAGGAATGCTCCAAAGCTTACAGTTGGGTTGGAAATTTCCTTAGAAATGAAGCACTAAGGTGCAACTGTACCCTTGCCTGTGGGCACACACACGGAGTACAGATTGACGCTGAAAGCACACTTTTCCTCTTTGTTCACCTGAGAGGTTAACTGGTTTCAAAGGGAGAAAACAAATAGAAAACAGACCGTGCTGTACAGCAGCTTAGAATCAGCATTTGAAATAGAGACAAACAAGTTTGCCATTGAAGCCATGAGTTTTCAGTGTTTTTCAAACATCTTCAATCCATGTGGAGAGCTCATTAAACAGGTGCCTGGTGACTGCCCCACACCTAGTGAAAGTCTTGTGGGTTGGCTCGACATGCATCTTATTTATCTGGAGCACATACCCACAGCACACTTTTGGCGGGTCGTTGGCTTTGTGCACATGTGTGTTGTGTGTATGTGTGTGTTGTGTGTGTACAGAGGCATACACAGTAATTCCCATCTTCCCATTTCATCTCAAGCACTTAGCTAAATTCAGCCTACACAGTTTTTTTGGAGAAATCTTTTCTGCTTATGCAAAAAGAAACTCTGATTCCAACAGGGAGAAGGGGAAATTGAATGCTAGTCATTGAAAATGAGATAGGAAATGGGAAGATATTCATGTTGCAACTCCAAATTCCAGGTCTGATCCTTAGGGTCAATATTAGTTATTATGTATAGTTCTTCCTTATAACCAATTGCAGAGAGAAAAAAGGAGAGAGTGAGCCTATTATTGACCCCCTCCAGTGAAGGTGTTTTAGTTCTCCCTAGCCATCTGAGCTAGGGGCAGGAGACCTTCCCTTCAGTTAGAGTTCCTGGTGAAGGTGACTTCTTCATCCACTGGATGCTTTCCCAGGCAGTTTTGTTGATCCTCCAAGAACATCAAGTCGCTGTGTGTAAATAGCTCCCACAGAAATGCTGAGTGTGGAAAGAACCCCACATTCCTGATGGGATAGGCACCAACATGTCCACACCTGGGCCTGACACTATACTTGGGGACAGGCTGGCAGGCTGAGCATGCCAGAGCAGGACATTGGCCAAGTATCAGGCTTCCTACTGCTCCGTGGGCTGCTCATGCTGGAGTCCTGAGCTCCACCAGGAGTCCCTCTGGGCTGCTGAGCAAGTGGATCTTCCAAGGGGCCCATCAGCCTGCTCCACACAAGAGTTATAGGAATTGTAGAGCCCCAGCACAACAGTCAAGACCAGCATCACTGCAGCCATCACCCAGATCACTTGCCAGTGCTGACACAGTTTGGGATACAGGACGTGTAAGAAATGGACCAATTCTTCAAGTTTGCTGTCAATGAGAAAAATAGGTGGGGAGTTTAGTATATTGGGCACACATGTGATGCCCAGACCCATAGTTCTTTCTCTGTCTGTGCTGTGCAGAGAATCACTTGGCAGCAATCATTCAAGATACCCTAAACTTATAAATGAGAATTTCCAGCATTATGGTCTAGGAATTAATTGTTAAGTTTTCCCAGGTGACTTTGATGCCACCAGTCCATAGCCTTGATGTTGGGAGCCACTTGGTCTAGATCACTCTGTTTACTTGATTGCTTATCCATCCAAACATGCCCGACTCTATTCACGGTATGATTACTGATCTCTGTATTCTCTCACGCCCCAGGGTACAAGGTTGGCTGATCTATACTCCCATGGATCTTTTCAGCACTTAGCTGCACTAGTGATCAGCTCCAAGTACTGACCTGCCCCCTGCCTCAGTGCTCAAATGCATAAGTCGTCATTCTCAGTCCCACATCTGTGTCAGAGCAGAAGGACAGTGCTAAACTCTCAGAAGCTTGGTGTCCAGTGATTAACAACAAAGGATCAGATCAACCTGAACAGCTCACTCCAAACCACCCCAAGGGCGACCAGATGACTAGTAGCCTCTAGCGAGCTCTCGGTGGCTTTTTCAAGATGCTTTCTCAACCTCACTGACATTTGTTCTCTAATTGCTCCCTCCTCCTCACTCTTGCCTTCCTTCATTCCCTTTCTCTCTTCCCTCCTTCCCTTCCATCTCTTTCTCCTTTTTACCTCTCTTCCTCTTCATTTTTCCACCTTTCCCTCTTGCTTCCTTCCCGAATGCCTTTCAGCTTGCCCTGTCTCTCCGTGGCACAGTGAAAGACATCTGGTCAGGCAGCCTGCTTTGAGGAGTCTGGGAAGCCCTGGACACCTTCTCTAAGCTCTCCTCCTGTGCAAGAATTTCCTCCTGTTTTAATCCCAGATCAATATTTTTTTAAAAAAGGAAAAAATAAATAAAACCAAGAATACTGAGGATTGCCAAACTAAGGAGGTGGGGAGAGTGACAGGGGGCTTTCTGAAGATCCTGCAGCTCACACAGACACTGCGATACACAGGCCATTTGCTGAGAAGCAGAGAGCTCTGGCTCACAGCTCGTAGAAAAGGGGTGGCTTGCAATGGGTGGAAACACTCAACAAACACCCTTCTTAGAGAGGGATTGGATGCTCAGAGTGCCTGCCTCGGATGATGAGGCCACAGGGAACACCACGTTTCTTTTCCCTGTGGGAACCGCATCAGATCATTTCAGGCAAAATTAAGCGAAGGAAAAAAATGAACGCATTAGCTGATGTGGAAATCATTGGCTCTTTTCACAACTGCTGGGAAGGGAGGGCTTGGAGATGGAAGCACATCTCCTTTCAGCCCCGTTTAGATCCTGTGGATTCCAATTAGATATAATCGGATATCAAAATGGAGTCTTTCTTTTGGGCTCTATTCCCATGCTCCAAAAGAAGCTGCCAAAATGGGGAGGATCCCACCCTAAACCCATTCTTAAGTGGGGCTCCAAGGGCAGAGGTCAAGACCTGCTTTTGTGACCTTAGCTGATCACCCATGGCTGGCCCATGAAAGAGGTTAGAAATAGAAATAGACATCCTTAAGATGTCCATTTTTGGTTGTTACAAGTAAACATCGGTTTTCTGAGAGTTATTGGGAAAGTAAAGGACCTGTGTAAATATGGTCTTAACCCCACAGAGTAGATTTGAAAAGGCAATGAAAGAAAAAATGTCTGTTGCACCTTATGAGTACTGTTTTGTCAATGTATTACGTCAATGTCAGAAGACTGCACTCTCCATTTAATATGGTTAAGATATTGGGTTAATTCACCCAAAGTTCATTTAAGCTGATCCTTCAGAGAGCAATATTTCCAACATTATAGAGAAAAAATTCAGACAAAAAGACTTTAGTGTTTGATATTAAATCTCTTTTATAATTGGCCAGCTGCTGGGCTTAGCCCAGTGTTTTTACAATGCACTAAATAATAACTTTGGACCTTGCTTGTTAGTGAGGTGCCAACATTTCACGGGGAATTGTGTTTGAGTGCAAGTGCCTGCAGGCAACGATGTGTCTAAAGGACCCAGGCATTGGTGAGGATTGCCTGGCATTGAAGACAACAGCTCCTGGGGCCAGTTTGGCTTGGGTTGCAGGTGACGAAGGGCTCCTAAGGCCATGAGCGGGCAGTTTACCTAATAGCAATGTCAGTCCTGAAGGAGAAGATGAGGCCTCTGGGCTTGAAAAGGTGAAGCTACACCCCTGTGCTGAAGGATGAGGACCCTTCTGCGAGCTGTGCTCAGGCCTGGTATCCATCACCTGAGGTATAGGCACGTTCTCAACACCAAAAAGTGAATCCGAGAGGAAGCAAAGGTTGGGAGACAGACCGAGGACTCTCTTGCAGGTGGCAGAGGCTATAGGCAGCCATTGCCATGCACTGCTGACCAGGAGCTGGACAGAAAGGGACCCAGGCAAAGCCTTATTTCCATGGGGTTTCACAAAATGGGAGGGAACTGCCAATTGGCTGTGATCAAATTAGCTAGATAAGGCTTTGTGCTTTATAAATCAGACTGTTTATATTCCATGTACTCTGTTTATTTCTCCTTTGTTCTTTCTCAGTGTTTGGAAGTGTTAGAATTCCAGCCTGTCTCAGCTACATTCAGGGTGCCAAAGGAAGGGCTTTTGTCCAGGCTTGGGCTTGATTGCATTAAAGGTGAGCAAGGCAATGTGGTGCCCTGAGGAATAAAAGCAGAGGACCCCCAAGAGGGAGGTGAGACCTAAGGAGAACAGTGTTCGGCTGTTTGGAGCAAACATTGTGCTTTCATTGTTAAACTTAGAGGTTCTTTCATGGGGAGGTAGTGTACATTAGCACAAGTTTGTTTCCAATGGTGAAGCATTTTCCCCAGCTCTCCTGACAGCTCCTGGTGCAGGCTGAGACCTCTCACTTCAGTTGAACCTTCACCAACTGGGCTCTGTTGGTAGCACCTCCATACATGGAAGCCCATCCATCTTGCCTCTGATCTCTACTTTGTTACCTTATTCATTGCATGCATGTGGCTTCAAGAGTTTGCCAGCAATGAGGCACAGACACATCCCCTGTCTCAGGTTCAGCAGCTGATTAGATAATTAATCATTTTGTCTGGAGCTGCCCTGGACCCCAAAATAGCCCAGAGGTCTAAAAACAAAGATTTTGGTGAAGTGTTCCAACGTTGCTACAACTACATTTTTAAAAAATCAAAATTCAAGACCAATGGTTTGAATGCACTAATAGAGACAACAGGGCTGAATATATGAAATTGAGGCTGTCCTGAAAATCCAGGACGTTGCTGTGGTCATTGCCTCTATAGGGCAGAGGACACCTCTTCTATAGGCACTAGTTTATTCTGTTCCTTAGCTTGTACTTCTATAGGCTGATTCAGGCCTGGTGGAGTTGAGCCCTCATTCCCATCATTACTCATTGCTTGGAGTGCCCTGGAACTAGATGAGGTTATTTCTAATATTCTGAATCCTAAAAGCCAGGTAAGAACCACGTGGGACAGGATGCAGGATCTATATTCTGTTTATCTACACGTTATATCCCCCCCCACACACCAATTTAGGGGAAAATTTACTTGAAATATAAAGTATTTTAAAAGAAAAATGCAAGTATCCAAAGTGAAGACACTGTCTGGATGACCCAGCTTGATTGGTCAGGGAGGGACCTGACCAATGGGAGGGACCTGTTGGAGACTCGACTTTGCCACTGAGCTGAGCCCCCCTCCATGCGTTCTCTCTGCCCCTGTCCTTGTAAGGAACCCCCATGAGGGTTGCAGGCCAGCTCCCTTGAGCTTGGCCCTTGCATGGGGATGGCTGGGAAACGAGTTAACCATGGTTGGGCTGGGAGGGACTCCACTCAGGGTCCGTCACCCTTTCTCAGCTCCTGAGAGCTCTTGATTGCTACCTGCCTTTCCCATGACTACCTCTTACCCCTTGACTCCTGCAAATGTCCCATTTTAGCTATTTTGACTCTTTGGGATTTCCTCTACCTGGTCCCCAACATGAGTGCCCCTTGGGTTTCTGTTGGCTACTCACTCATACCCACTGCTGCCCTGGACTGGTATTTCCAGGGATTTTGTGCAATTGAATAATTAAATGAATTGTAATCCATGTCAGCAAGGGCTCCAAACACAGGCTTCCCACCTGCTTCTCTGGTCCTTTTCTTCTTCCTCGATTTCTTCTACCTCTTCAGGTTCCTCAGGACTCTCATTCTTTTGTTCTTCCTCCTCCTCCTTCAGGTCTTGAAGTTCTTTGGTCTTCTTCAGACCTTCCTGGTATCTGGAGAGCAAAAAGGAACAATTGTCTGAAAAGGCCAGATGAGGAGGATTCTTTCCTGAGTTCCTAGGGGAGAGCACTGAGCACCTCCAATAATCACGCACTTCCTGTGGTTCCACACAACAGGAAAAAGCTGGGAAGCTCCGCTGACTCCCAAGGCAGCTCATGTCAGTACCATTTCCCCTCACTCCTCAGTCATCCTTCCTGTTTATGTGACAGAGTGACAAAACTGATAGGGAAAAAATGTGGGTGGGGGGTCTCCTGACTGGGTTCTTATCCCATAGAACATTCTGTAGGGACAAGATTGCACGTGTTCCCCATGTAACCTTGCAGCTTCAGCTTCTTATCTATAGAACAGAGAGGATAACACCCATTTCACAGGGCATTGAAACATTTTTTTGGAAATGCCAGGCACACAGCTTGAGCTAAAGAGGTACTCAGTAAATGTGTACAAAGCCAGTGGAAGAGTCCACTCCCTGTGCATTCTGAGGACAGAGCACAGTTGTGGGGGAAAAGACAGGCTTTCCAAGAGTAACCTTTCTGGTTTCCTCCTCCCAGGATCAACATTACCCTGAACATACTCTGCCTCACTTGTCCTACAGCTGAATGTTCAAGACCAGCCGGCTGGCTGGGGCAAACCCACTGCTGTGTGTGTGACTGCCACACAGAAGCCCACAGGTTCTGTGTCGGTGGGGAGCTGCGTCTCCCTCATGAGCTGCGGGGACAGGAGAAACTCTGCGTGCCATGCCTGGTCGGGGGTGACTCTCTACACCTTGAGGCTTGGGCCCTGCTCAGGACTCTCTCCCTCCAGGAGCTGACAACTGGCCATAGGTGCTCCTGAAGCTCAAATGGAGGAGGAGACAGTTGGCAGTCGAAGGGACTCAGCTTATAGGAGGAAGGGGTGACGAGAGCAGTTTTGGGAAGCAGGGCTGCAGCTGCTCCTGGGCATTGCTGGCAGCAACAGGACTGTGCTGACCATGTGTCAGGAAGCCTTAGACACCACCAAGAGGAACCCACCCAGGGGCCCCTGACTTCCAGACCATTCTGGTGGCTTTCTGCCTAAAAAGAAGGTGGTCTAGTAACCACACCCTTTGGCCCTGCTTCCTCTGTCCTTCCTGTGGAACAGTCTTGCTCTTTCCTATGTAGTTCCCTCCCAAGGCGAGGAGGTCCGGGGGCCACTGGTTGCTTCCCTAAAGCCTCTAAGAAACAGGAAAGGCCCGTGGAGAGGTGTCTTCTGCGACCTGCCAAGTGCCCTCAGGGTGGCCGAGGTAACTCACCCCTTGTTGAAGGCTTCTTCCTCCATCCTGGCCTTGGTCTCCTGACTAACCTCCTCCAGACAGCTCGGGGCTGGCACGGGCGCAGGGGCCTCACAATCCGGGTCCCCGTTTGTCTTTCCACTAGTGAGAAGAGGAAGTACAGGGCATTGTTTCAGAGAAAGGTTGAGTGTCTGAAAACAAAACCATGTCTTTGGCCTGATTCCTGATTAGAAATGAGGAAACTCAGGTTCTTTCAGTATCTTTCAGATTTTTTTTCAATTCTTCTACTCTGAGACAAGATTTTATAAAGGCCCTAGTCCATGAATCCTCCCCTAGACTGCTAAACATTGCCTTGGCTCCCCTTCCCTTCTCCTTGCGCCCCCAAATCCACCTTTCTCCTTATTCCAGGAGGTGTTGCGTGTGGGAGCGCCCAGGTCATTCCATGCCTGCAGTCCATCTTTGGTCTGAGGAGCTTACTCGCTCTCTCAAATATCTACTGAGTATGACTAAGTCACAGGCATACTGCAATGCCCTGGGGACACACTGAAAAATAAAGAGATGGTTTTTGCCAACGTAGAGCTTAGCAGAAGAAAAAGCCAACAAAAAGAAAAAAATATATAATTAATTTCAAATTATGATAACTGGTATGAAAGAAAAAATTCTGTGTAGTGACAGAAAATAAAAAGGGGGGAATGTGTTTATAGTGAATGGTCAGAAAAGGCCTCTCTGAGGAGCTGAAATTGAAGCTCAGACCTGAGAGACGAGAAGTCGGCCGTATCCACTGCAGAGGAAAGAGCATTCCAGGTAGAGGATACAGGTCGTGTAAAGGTGCTGGGAAACAAAAGGTGCTGGACTATTTGAGGAACTGCAAGAGGCAGGGGCAGAGTTAACCTTTGGATAAAGGAACATCTGTGATCCCTGTGAGCTATCCAAGTGGAAATGTCAAGTAGACAGTTGGGTATGCCAAAGTGAGTCAGAGAAGGGCTCCGGGCTGGAGATGTTAACTTGGCATCATCAGAATACAGGTGCTATTTAAAGCCAGGGGGATGGATAAGATCACCTAGTGAGGTAATATAAGGAAAGGCAAGAAGACGACCCAGGACCAAGCCATGAATATCTCCACACCTGGCTCAGGTGGAAAAGAAGGGGCCTACAGAGGAAGCTGAGCAGTAGCAGCCGGAGAGGTCAGAGGAAAACCAGGAGAGTGTGGAGTCCTGGGAGCCAGGAGAGGAGAGCAGGTCAGGGAGGGGTAACTATGTCACATGCTTGTGAGAGCCTGAGTCGGTGGGTACGGAGTGACCATTAGATTGGATGATGTGGAGGTCGAGGAGCGCTTGATGGAACGGGGGATCCAAGGCCAGACTGGAGTGGGCCTGGTGAAGAACGGGGGACACAGTCATCTGAGCAGGAGGGGACATATTTGAGTGTGTTGGAGGGAACGCACACTTAGGAAGTGGGCCAAGGAAGAAACACACTTGAACGTGGATAGAAAAGATCCAGCAGAGGGGAAGAGAGGAAGGCACGACCAAAAGAAAGAAGTCTTTGAAAAGAGACACAGGGACAGACTGAGCAAAGGCAGAGAAACCTCTCCTGCTTTAACTAAGGGCAGAGGAGGATGAACACAGTGTGCTGGGTGTCTGGTGAAGGAAGATGAGAAGGCTCCCATCTGAATGGGAGCCTAAGCTTTCTCTGTGAGGTGGAAGGCACGGTCACCTGCCCAGAGGGAAAGGCCGAGGGGCTGAGGAAGGTTCGAGGAAAGTCGGTAGGAAGGCAGGAAAACAAACATACTGGAAAGTCAGAGCAGGATGGTGGGCAGTGCTGGGCGCTGATCCGAGGCGTGGCTCGCCAGTGCTAAAGGAAGGCCCCTGCGGCCCACCTGGGCGTCCAGAATCCCAGCCAGCGCGGTGTCACCATGGCGGCGCCCTCAAACACGGCAAAGCTGTGAGCGGCGCTTTCCAGCCAGGACTCTGAGAGATCACAGCTGCCAGCCCCCCTAGCCCCCACCTCTCCAGGGGCCTTATGAGCGAGCCTTGTGTCTTCTCCTCGCTCTTGGCATCAGTTTCCCATCTCTAAGTTTTCCTCAGACCTTGTAAAATTTACATTTCATCAGGCTGGGAACCAAAACCCATTGTGAACAAGAAAGATAACGCTCTAAAAATACCAGCTATTCATAACATTTCTCCTCTTGCAAATTACATTATCCACTCCCTTCCATGTGACCTTAGAATGTGCACTTGCCTAATGTGCAGTTTCCTATTTATCCAAACGACTGGAGCAAGAGGAGAAAAACACAGCCACAGCCAAGGACGAGGAAAGCAGTACTTTTTTCTATATCAAAAATAAAATATTGGTATCAAACCTTTAATTTATCCACAGCCGTCAACCTTAGAGGCTCCTTAATATGTTAAACATACACGAGGGAGGACAGTGTGGTATAGAGCTGCAGTCCTCAACCTTTTTGCACCAGGGACCATTTTCATGGAAGACAATTTTTCCATAGACTACGTGTGTGGAGGGGGGATGGTTTCAGGATGATTCAAGCACATTACATTTATTGTGCACTTTATTTCTATTATTACATTGTAATATATAATGAAATAATTATACAATACACCATAGGTTGGGGGCCCCTGGTATAGAGGAAAAGAACCTGCCTGAGACAAACTTGGATTCAAACCCCAGCTCCAACACCTACAAACTACTCAACCTTCCTGAACTTCAGATTCCCCAACTGTAAAATGGGGGTAGTGTAATAATATGTACCTGATGGTGGTGGTGTAAGAATGAAGAAATGTCAACTTTCTGGAGTACAGTACTCAACAAGTTATTTATATTATTATTATTACTCTTATTGCTGTGTAGTAAATTAATTAGTAAATTTTGGGAGCAATCTGAGCTTCCTCCAAACTTATCCAAGCTGATAAATTACCAGGTAGTTGTTTCTATCTTCAAGGGAGAATTGTTATACGTTACTATGATGCTTCAGAGTCAGAGGAACCCCAAATGCAAACTAGTTTAAACTATGGTAAAATTACATTAAATTTTCATACAATTACTTTAATAAGTTTCTCAGGTGCATGTCTGTTGTGTGCCATAACACACTCACGGGCCTTAGAGTTCTGCTGACCAAGTGACTGTAAACAAAACTTTCACTGTCTTTGGGTCACTGCTCTCTAGAGACTAAACCTTTCCTTATTGGGGCCGGGAGTTTCTTTTCCCGGCTTTTTTTTTTTTTTTTTTTTGAGACAGAGTCTCGCTTTGTTGTCCAGGCTAGAGTGAGTGCCGTGGCTTCAGCCTAGCTCACAGCAACCTCAAACTCCTGGGCTTGAGTGATCCTTCTGCCTCAGCCTCCCGAGTAGCTGGGACTACAGGCATGCGCCACCATGCCCGGCTAATTTTTTATATATATATCAGTTGGCCAATTAATTTCTTTCTATTTATAGTAGAGACGGGGTCTTGCTCTTGCTCAGGCTGGTTTTGAACTCCTGACCTTGAGCAATCCGCCCGCCTCGGCCTCCCAAGAGCTAGGATTACAGGCGTGAGCCACAGCGCCCGGCCTTCACAGACTCTTTTATGTGTGGGTCTTCCGTCCATTTCAACTCCCCTGTGAGGCTTTCACATGCCTCTCTCACTTGATCTTCCCAATGATAAGATGAGCTACCCTGATGCCCAAGGTAACCTACATATCAGGCTCTAAGATCTCACTTAAGACTCACAAATGATCCAATAAGATATTATTGTTCTCAGTTTGACAGGTGAGGAAACCAAGGCTCAGAGAGGTTAAATAACTAGAGTGTGGTAAGCTCAAATTTTTTTTTCTTTCGGCATATTATGGGGGTACAGATTTTAAGGTTTCAATAAATGCCCTTTCCCCTCCTGTGAGCTCAAATTTGACTCTCTGTAGACTGACACCCACCCATACTTTTGACTGCGCTATCCGCCACCCACATGGGGGATTATCCTACTTGACGGATAAGAAACCCAAGCTCAGGTTGATTAAGTGACTTGTTTAAATTCTCATTTTTGGTTCTGGAACTCCCATCTTGGTCTTTTATTTTTTTTTATTTTTATTTTTATTTTTTTCAGCCATTTTCCATCAGTATGCCATCTTGGTCTTTTAATGTCAAGATTCTCTTTCCAAGGCTCTTTGAATTTTATCTTTCAATAGAGGTCTTTTCCTGGAGCTCTGAGTGGTGTGCAGCGTTCTGAGGCACCTGCTAAGTGAAGCCATTCCCTCTGTGTGGCTGGACAATGGCCCACAAACCTGCCCTTCTTTTCAAGGCTTCTTGTCTAGAGTGAGGTGGCTGGGAGGGGCTTTGTTGAATATGGGGGGTAGGCTGGGAAGTGGAAATAAAAATGTTTGCTATTCTCTCCTGACCTCCAGACGGAGCTTATTATAGTTCCCTAAATATCTTCTCCAGCTACCTGGAAGCTCTCCCTATGCATCTTTAAGACTTAGCTCAAATACTTCCTTCTCTATGAAACCTTTACTGATATTCTCCCCTCTCCCATGCCCTCTGGTTAAAATGGATCTCTCCCTCCCTCTAAGCTGTCTCTGTGCCTCTGTTACAACGGGACTCACAGAGAGGGCGTTTTTATGTGTTAGATGCCTGCCCATACTCTATGTGACTGTGATCACAGCGGGGAGACTGTGTTTGGGTCAGAATGGTGCCTGGCACACAGTAGATGCCTTTAATTGTTTGGTGAGTTGCACTGATTTCACTATGACCTAGCCAGACCCTGCCTATGATTCTTGTAAAATGGGCAGGTCCTCCCTGTAAATAGCTCTTCCTGAGAACCCAGTGTTGGGTTGGGCTACAGGAATCTGTATTCATGGCTGCACACTGGAGCTGAGCACAGCCTGTGCCACCCCAGGGACTTCCAGGCCAAATGCTCACAGATCTTGGCATCTGTTCCCATCCTGAAATCCTACGTGCTGTGCTTTCTTTCTGAGATAATTTATTAAAACGAGGCTCATTGTTCTCACATGTCCACCAGGTCAAAAATATTTGTCATTGTGCTCAGCTCCCAGTAACGTGCAGGGCTATGTAGTCAAGATGAATTAGATTCAATTTTTCCCACGTGGCAGACAATATTTGAAAGTGACGACCATCCTTCCCAGTGGCCATATCTTACCTTCTTGGGCTCAGCAATGCTTCTGTCACCCCCACTGCCACGGGTCCCTCTGACAAGCCTGGCCCAGGGAACCTGAGCTGGAGGATGTTCCTTACTCCCTGTTACACAGATATCTTGTGTCCACTAAGAGTTTCCTCGGGGATAATTCACTTCAGCAAAGGGGAATTGCTTACTGTACAAATGTAATGTCATATAAAATCTATAAGTAATTTACCCTGGCTACTTCAAAAGTGTCAAAAGGGATTATAGTTAAAATTTCTCTGTGATACATCAGTATAATGGCCCATTTAATGAAACTTACCCTGTGCACCACCCACGTCCTGGCTCTGCTGCAACCCCCCCTCAGTGAATCGCTCCTCCCACGCCCCGTCTCCCACGCCACTCGGTGCCCAGTCACCAGGCTCTTGAGAAAATAGCTCTTAAATCCATCCGCTTCTCTGTAGCCACACTGAACTCCTTCCTGTTCTTTCGGGTGGAGGGTCTATTTAAAGGTTAGGAGCATGAGCTCTGCTATCTATTAGCTGTGTAACATCTCAGGCAAGTGACAATTTCTCTGAGCTTCAGTTTCCTGATCCACAAAACAGGGATATTAGTAACATATCTATTTCATGGGATTATTGTGAGGATTCAGTGAGATTCTTAATGCAAAGCAATTAGTAAAGCACTTGGCATAAAGTGAGTGGGCAGTAAATAATGATAGTAATTATCATGATCATCATTGTCATCGTCACTGTCCCCATTCCTTGCATACTCCACGCTTTGTTGCCTAAGAGACTAGAATGTTGCTAAACTCCTGTTTGCCTGGTTAATTATATAACCGTCAGGGTTATATAACCTATATTAAAAGTAGGTTCCTGGGGGAAATAATTTCTTAGCCTCTTCTTCCCCCTACCCTATTCCAAAACTGGGTCAGGTGCTCATTTTCTTGTGTGTTGTTTCCTTAGCAACCTGTGCTCCCTTAAGATATCGCCCATCATGTTGTACCATAATGGGCTGTTTCCCATCTGTCTTTTCCACTAGATGGTGAGTTCCTTCAGTACATTCTATGTGCCTGGCCCTTGGTGATTAATTATTGAAAGAATGAAAGAATAAAAGACTGCAAATATATAGTTCTTCCTAGTGGAACTGCTCTTGAGCTTTGTTCTGTTTTAATCTTTAAGACTAACTTTAAGTATCACTCTCCACTGATTTGTTTCTTTAAGTCTACAAGTTTCCAGACCCTTGTTGAGTGAAGATCCATTCATTATGAAATGACCTACAACAGCAAGGCTCAGAATTCTCTCGAATCACACTGGACAGTGCAGTCAGCTCATAAGTATTAGCTTGTGAATTAGCCACAGGCTATTTGATCTTCTCATCCTGTACTTAGCCAATGTCCTTCCTGCTTAGTCACTGTGAGCTTAGGAAATGTAAAATCATTTTGATGTGAAACTGAATACAGCAATCTGGAAAGCACTGTATATTAAATTATAATACAACATGGCTAGGTGCCATGGCTCACGCCTGTAATCCTAGGATTTTGGGAGGCCAAGGTGGGAAGATTGCTTGAGCCCAGGAGTTTGAGACCAGCCTGGGCAAGAGTGAGACCCCATCTCTACAAAATTTAAAAAAATTTAAATAATAAAATAAAATTAAAATTAAAAATAATAATATTATTTCTCTTTAGCAATATGGATAGGGCAGCTAGAATTTATTGTATTTGTATATAGAACAGAAGACATGAATTCATTTTTACCCCTAAATTATCTCATTGTTAGTCTTTGGAGAATCTACTAAATGTCTCTAGTTTCATGAATTCGATAGAAATCACTTAGTATCTTTTAGAAATCAGAGAGAGGCTGTGGTTCATACTGAATCCTTGCTCTTTTGATTACTTTCTCTCCTCTTTGCAGCCATTCTCATGTGGTGTGTTCCTGACAGTGAGTCAGCCCCAGCACGGCAATGGCAGGGTCCACGTCAGCCCTGTAGGGGAGCCACAGACATCTTCCTGGGAACCTCTTGCTTGTACTGCCTTGATCCTCACTCTATCCCTATATCTCCAGGTTCTAGACTCTTGACAAGATGATACCACCATCCATCCTCACTTGTTGACATTCCAGATTCTAGGCTTCTGCCTGTTATTCCCAGCCTTGTGCTTCAGTTACTCCTGCCAAGACTAGCTCATGTTCTTGATGAGCCCACTGACTCAGACAGTTCTCCACTGGCCTGGCACTAGTTCTACAGAGCTCAGGCCCTGTTCTGTCATGATTAGAGTCTGCTGGGAAGAGTAAGAACATAGACCCGCTGCTTTGAATGGCTCTGCAGGCCTAGAGTTAGGAATGGGGTCTTGGTATGAGTCCTCTGAAGTAGGGATTGGTGCACCCAAAGGGAGGGTTGGCAGGGAGAATTTTAGTGAGCTTCTCAAAGGGGCAAGTGACCATTTCTGGAGAGCATCAAAGATCATGGGCTAGGCACTGTGATTCTAAGGACTTGGTAAGGTTCTGCAATCTTGGTTAGTCCCGCATGGTTAATTTATCACCCCTTTACAGTTTCCCTGTAGTGATCTGGTGGAGGAGGGAAGGAGAGGAGGGAGGGAGGGAGAGAGCACAAGTGTCCACCCTCCCTGATATGAAGGATCTGTAAGCTGATGGGGGGTAAGGTGGAAAAGGGAGGAAATGCTGGGCAAATAAGACTAACATGGGACAGATCCTGAGTGATAAGTTGGTGGTTGCATAATGAGAGGTGAGGAAAACAGGCTGAGTCTAGAGGTGGGGTGTTTGGGAGCTTGTCTGTACCAAAAAGGGTCCAACATACACATTCCCTGCCAGGTCCAGCAAAGCTTTCCTAAAAACAATGAAAGATGAAGGACTGAAGCTGTCTCAAGGCACAGAAGAAGAAAGAATAAGGTGTATGTTCTACCAAGTGAGGAAAGACACAAGTGGAAAGTTCTGAGAGGTGGCAGCTGTGATCCAGATGTTTTCCAGCAAGCAAATGAAGGAATTTGAAAAGTGAGTTATAAACTCCCCTGAGTGCACAGAAACAGCCTGCCTTGCTCTGGCTGAGGATGAAAAGACCTGCAAATTGCATAGATGCCTAGAAAAGTTAGGCATAGCAGACGCTGTTGGCTGCCAATCCAATACTTCCTTCCTAGTTTCTAACAGCCACATCATTTTGTTCAGGAACTTACTCTTTTTTACGGAGTCATTTTGCTTCATACAACACTGACCCTCTCCTCAACTTCAGGGGACAGCTTAAGCCCACAATGACAATCCCATTCCCAAAGCCTGTCTACAAAGGGACCATGTTGCAGATTTGCCAATGAGATAAGAGGGAAGATGGGTGAAAGGCCTCTGGGTTCATTCTTAAGAAAGAAATATGGGAAGAAATGATCCCTTTCTTCCTCTAGATATTTTCCTATCTTGAGAGGATACATGGAACTAGCAGCCATTGCCACAAGCCTGATGACAAAGTGGCCAGAGGCGAGGGGTCTGTACAGAGGCTGAGCCAGAGCCCTCCTGTGCCATGCCTGGGGCAGCCCCACCTCTGGACTTACTACTTAAGCCCCACTGTGTTGGGGTTTTCTTGTATACATAGCTCAAAGAATCCCAACCAAAGGAGAAGGCTTCTGTCTCCTCTGGGCTCTTCTTAGATTGGGTACATGTGGCCTCAGCCATAGTATTTTCTTGGTCCCAGAATTTTGCAATCTGTGTCTGAAGTATCTGTGGGTCTCAGAGTCCCACTCATCTCCCCTAAGATTTAATTCACTTTCTATTACATTTTGGGGGTGAGGATGGGAGGAAGGAGGCTGAATTGGGGAAATTTTCCTTAGACATCCACAAAGGTAAGAGGAAAATGGATAAACTTACTTTTCCAAAAGTGCAGGCAGCGCTGAAGTGACAGGTAGGCTGCCTTTCCCATTGGTTGATTCCGACTGAATAGAAAACAAGACAGAATGGAGGATGAGCTATGGGAGGAAGAAGCCAGAGTCCCTGGGTCTTGGATGATGCAGGGAGGGGCTGCCCACTCCTCCTCTTCCCCTCCTCGCTCCCCAGCGCTTTCCAATCTGCCTCCGAGCCCAGGCATCGGCCTTTTTCCTGGGGCCCTCCCTGTGCTCCTTTCCTCAGTGTTCCTTCCCTCTGGGGCCTTGGCGACTTGCTCCTTTTCCTTTTCTCCTTCTAAGTCTCCCTGAGCCAAGCGAAGAGTTTACATCTGAGGCTCCATTGTGGAGTGGAGCCATCAGTTTTCCTGTCCCGTTTACCAACTGCGATAGAACACCAGCAGGCCTCCTGCCATGTGCGTCCTGAGTTCCCCAGGATAGAGCCACAGGAGCCCATCACTGCCCCTAGACCCACGGCTCCAAGAATAATTCTCAGGAGGTGCCTGCTGTTACTAAAAGCTCAAGACATCAGAAATTTCTTTATAATAAATCCCCCAGGATTTCCACATGGTTCTGTGGCAATGGTTTTGGCGTAAGCAATGGTTCTTAATTCTGGCTGCACATTTCAGTCACCTGAGGGAGACTCTTAAGAAGTCCTGATCCACCCTGCATGATTTTAACATATTGCCCTGGTCTAAAGGAATATATATTTGGAAACATTTATGCATTTAGGTAAAGCATGGGAACTATGTCTGTTAAAACACACTAACCAGGCCTCTCCAACCTCCTTAAAACAATTTTTTTTTTAGGTTGCTTTGTTTTAGCAGGTAATTTGGGAATTTAGGTTGATTTCATAGATGACTGAAAAGCTTGAGGCAGGAAGAGGTGAATGCTACCTATTGATGCAACAACAGAGCTTGAATCTACCTTACCAATTGCTTATGCAATCAAATGTTTCTTTATAGGGTAGTGCTGGTCATAGGGAACAGAGAAACCACTGAAGAAAGAGTTAGAAAAGCTTTAGATAGAATTAACCAGATACACAAAGACCTGGGATTTAGAAAATATATAGGAACTGTCTCTGTTTAAAAAAATTGAAAAATTTTCTCTGATTATTACTAATATTAATATATTCTTACTATAGAAATACAAAAAAGCATCAGGAAGAAAATAACCATTATTTTCTTTACCATTACCCAGAGATAACCATTATAAATAGTTTCACATATTTTCTTCAAGCGTTTTCTATGCCTCCACACAGAAACACACTTTAAAAGTACAAAACAGAATTATACTATTTCTATACTAGTTTTTGTATATACCATTTGAATTGCTTTTTATTCATAATTATCGATAATATTCTACAGAAACCCCTTATAGTGATATCCATAATTTGTTTAACCAATCTCATATTAGTGGACATTGGGTTGTTTCCAGTTTTTCATTGTTATAAACAACGCTACAATGAACCAAGGTGGGATAAGAAGGGGGCTAAGAACTCAGGTTCTGGAACCAGAGAACCTAGGGTTCAAAGCTTAGCTCTGCCACTTATTGGACTTTACAAACTTCAGCTACTTAAACCTACTGCAAAGTAGAGACAAATTATGACCACGTTGGAGGATTGTGGTTAAAGCATGAAGAGTTATCATTTTTAAGGAACACTCTCTGAGCTCCAACACTGTGTTCAAGGGCACTGAGACTTCTCAGGGCAGTGGAATATGTGTGGCTTGGTCTGTATTGAGCTTTCTGAGCCTATCACACAGATTCTGTGCTGGGAGTTTCCCCTCCTTGTTGACCTTGCACCCGTTCGGTCACCCCATGGTAGCAAGCGTGGGGGGAAGGTAGAACAGCGCTGGGAGGCAGGCATCTTCATACTCACCAAGGCTGGTAAGGACGGGATGGGTGATGAGCTGGGAGTTTGGCCAGGTAGGTTCAGGGCATTAAACTTGGGAACTACAGCAACACTGACCCTCCGGCGGGGCATATTCTGTGGGAAGAGAAGTGACCAGGTCTCCTGTCTTGGCAGTAGCAATAGCCATAGTTCAGAAGGGCTTGGGAAAAGCCAACTAGTTTCTAACGCTGTTATGACGTTCACTGGCTATGTTGGTTTTGTGGTAGAGATGGTGCTGGGAATTGGTGTGGAGAAAGTGGCCAAAGTTGACCCAAATTTTCTGGTTGGTGGTGAGTGACCTTTCCACCCATTCGCATTTTAGCCTATGAGATCTTGGGGATGCAGAATGGAAATGACTTTTTCCCCCTACCCCCAGTCTCTGGGTAACATCTTAGTGTATAAAAACTGCCTGTGGCAATACCAGGCTCAGGATCATTTCGCATTCATTTAAGGGATGTATAGTCAGAGAAACTTTGCAAGAAAAGAAAGATGACAGAGGCTGAGCTAGTGAGTGTGGGAAGCTGGAGGGAACCCCGTTCAGACATTCTCTGGCACCCAGGGATCCAAGAATGCATAGCTGCTTGGATGATCGTGAAAACCTCTGTCATACTCCTCTGGGCGCCCTGGGATGCATACCTTTCCCAGCGTGAGGGACATGGACCGTGCCGTGCGAGGGACCCCGTCTTCTGCAGCAGGAGGGAACAGAGAAGAGAATCAGGTAAGTTTCAGACCAGGCTCCAGCAGGAAACAGGCAGAAACTAAGCCACAGTATCCATGGGCTAGAAGCGGCCCACGAGGATGGCCTGTGGGTCTGGGTGTTGGGGACACTGAGATTGGCACTTCACCCTCTGAGGTGGTCATGTGCAGCGTGGGGGCTTTTTTGGGTAAAACCTTCATCCTGCCTCTACTGGGCACCATAAGCAGCCCCAGTCTTGGACCTCAGATCTTCATCTGACACCACTACAGAGTCTCTGGGTAATGCCCCAGATAGTGTATGAAAACTACTCCTAGCAATACCAAGGTTTATTGGCTCATTTCATGCTCATTCAGGAAGGTGCAGTCAGAGAAACTATGAGCAAGGAAGGCGTGGTGCCGGTAAAGAAAGAAAACTTGCTGACACATGTAATCTCAATATCATCTACATAATGATTCAGAATGAGGGAAGTCCCCACCCCAGGAGTTTCTTCTCCTTACTACAAATATTAAATGGTTTAATTCTCGCAGTATGTTTAGCATCACACCTGGATAATGTTGCTACCAGGAAACATCTGAGTACTTGCAGAGTGATGTATTTGCAAGCTCAATTCAGTTTGACCAAAATTATCCAGCCTGTACATCTGTCTCTCCTTCATAGCCATATATTTCTGATGTCTCTTAAAAAGCACACAGCTGTGTTTTTTTCATAATCTAATCTGAGGTTCTCTATTAACCAAAAGTTTTAGACTAGTTACATATCTTATGATTACTAATATATTTGTATTTATTTCCACCATCTTATATTTTCTGTTCACTTGGCTTTATTTGATGATTTTTTTCTACCCCTTCTCCCACCCCACATCAATTTGGAAATTACATATCCTATTTGTAATCTTTAGTGTGTCCCCTTGACATACTGACTTTAAATTTAAAATTAATCAAGATCTTTCTTCTTTTCCAAAATAAGCCTACAATCATAACCCCTTCCAGTCTTAATTATATTGTTTTTCAGTATTTTTATTTCACCTTGTTTTTCGTACTCATAAATTATTATTTTTTTTTAATTTCGGCATATTATGGGGTTACAGATTTTAAGGTTTCAATAAATGCCCATTTACCCCTCCCCCCCAAGTCTGAGTCTCCAGCATAATCATCCCCCAGATGGTGCACATCTCACTCATTATATATGTATATACCCGCCCCCCTCCCCCCTGCCCAATACCCTATTACTGTAGTACCTATGTGTCCGCTTTGGGTGCTGTTCAGTTAATACCAATTTGCTGGGGAGTATATGTGGTGCTTGTTTTTCCATTCTTGGGATACTCCACTTAATAGTATGGGTTCCAGCTCTAACCAGGAAAATATAAGATGTGCTATATCACCGTTGTTTCTTAGAGCTGAACAGTACTCCATGGTATACATATACCACATTAATCCATTCTTGGATTGATGGGCACTTAGGCTGTTTCCACAGCCTTGCAATTATGAATTGTGCTGCTATAAACATTCGAGTGCAGGTGTCTTTTTTGTAGAGTGTCATTGGATCTTTTGGGTAGATGCCCAGCAATGGGATTGCTGGATCAAATTGTAGGTTCACTTGTATCGCTTTAAGGTATCTCCATATTGCTTTCCACAGAGGTTGAACTAGTTTGCAGTCCCACCAGCAGCGTAGGAATGGCCTTTATCAAAAAGTCTCCAAACAATAAATGCTGGCGTGGATGCGGAGAGAGAGGAACACTCATAAATTATTGCTATTTTCTACACGGAATGCTTATTTAGATTTACCCACGTATTTACAAATGTCTTTGATCACTATTTCTTCTTGCATCCTACTCCTTTCTTTTGAGTTCAGTTTCATTCTTCCTTAGGCACATTCTTTAGTCATTCTTTCAGCAAGGGTCTCTGAGAGCTAAACTTTCTCGGTTGTCTCCGGATGTCTTTACCCAACCCTTGAGCTTACATGGTGGTTTAGCTGTTTGTACAATCTCTAGGTTGACAGGTATTTTCTCTCAGCTCTTTGAAGAGGTTATTCTATTGTCTTCTGGTATTACAGGGCATCCCAAAAGTCTCCATACAAAGGAAACATTTTGTAATGAATATTTTGTAAATAAAGGTACATTTAGCTACAATTTCCCATTTTCCCTATATATGGTGACTTTGGGGATGTGCTGTATTAGTGAGAATTGTCATTCCTTTGCAAATAATCTTCTTTCTCTGGTTATTTTTAAGGTCTTCATTTTGTCTTTGCTGTTCTCAAGTTTCTCAGTGATGTGCTTTTATTCCTTCTATTTGGAATTCACTATATTTTCTGAATCCAATGATTCAGGGATTTCTTGAGTTCTGAAATATCCCCGGCCATTCTTTTGTATACTTTCTCTCCTCTACCTCTTTAAGGACCACTAGATGTATTTGGGACTTTCTCATTCTATACTTAGATCCCATATCTCATAATATTTCTTTTATATTTTAATCGACTTATCCTTCTGAAATACATATTGGGTAACTTCCTCAAATCTGTCTTCCAGTTAACTAACTTTTCCTTCAACTGTACCTAATCTGATTTAAATGTTGTACCAATCAGGATAAGCTAGGTTATGCTACAATAATAAACAACCCCAAAGCATTAGTGGCTTATAGCAACAAATATTTCTTGCTTATATTACATGTTCATTTATATCCTTTTATTTCAAATTTAGGGGGTACAAGTGTTTTTTGTTACATGGATGAATTTTATCAAGTTAAAGTCAGGGCTTCCATTTACTTCTGAGTTGGTAGCAGGCTCTGCTGTACATTTCCTCACTCAGGACTCAAGTTAATGGAATTTCTAGTGCTCCGGAGCAGTAGTGGTTGTCATGTTAGGAAGAGGATAAATTGCACACTAGCTCTTAAAGGCCTCAGCTCAGATGTAACCTGTGTTCTTGTACTCACATTTCATTCACCAAAGCAAGTCACATGGCCTTGCCTTGTGCTTCAAGGGGATGGGGAAATGTGCCCAGAAGGAGATCTGGAATATTGAGGAATACCTTCCACTATAGTAACTACCACACCTCAACTATTGAGTTTTGAATTTCTATGACTCTATTCCTCATTTCAAGGAGTTCTGTTTTATTCTTTTTGGATAACTGTATTCTTTCACCCTCATGTTTTTGATCCATTCTTTTGTGCCTCTAATAATTTTAAACAGATCTTCAAAAACATATCAGATTTCATTATCTGAGGTTTTTAGGATATAATCCTATTGTTTAATGTGTCTGATGATTTTTGTTCATGGTGAACTGTTTTCTTGTGTATTTTATAATTTTATATTGTGGACTCATCTTCAGAGAGGCTTTATCAGAGGAACCCTGAGTGTCCTGGGTGCAGGGTGTGCCTCTCTTCAGGGTGGCTGTTTGTTCTTAGAGGCACCATCTTGCTGTTCTTTTCAGATTTTCCACAAATTGCATCATCACTACTGTCACTTTAGGCATGTACTTTTCCTATGAGGAAGGAAAAAGTATTTTTTCCTACTAGAGCCCAGGGTGAAACAGACAAACTTCCTTGTTTGTTTCTCTGCTGGTTGGTGATTGTTTTTTTTTTTTTATCCTTGTCTGAATTCTACCTGAAGGGACAGTCCTTGGAAGGCCTTAACTTTCTGTGGGAATCTGAGTGTCAACTCTGTTATGGGTGTTCGAGGCCTTGTCTCAGATCACACGTGAGTGCAAGCTCAGCCCCAGGTAACTGAGGCTGACACTTATCCCCAAAGGAAGCTGCAGGGCCAGCTTGGTTTCAGTTCTCCTTTCTTTTCTAGTATCTGGGTATTTCAATTTCTTTTCTTGTGGATTCAGCTATTCTTTTAGACTAATGTTTGCTTCATTTTGTCCAGCAGAAATTTCTAAGTATTTGTGGTCAAAGAATTTTCAAGTTTTCCAGTCAGCCAAAATACCAGAACCAGAAAATATTCTTTATATATAAAGAGCTTACATAAATTAATAAAATACCAATTATGACTATGGGCAACAGTCATAATTAAAGATTTTACAAAAGTAGAAATACAAATGCTCAATAAACATTCGGAGAGGCCAAGAAATACAAATTAAAACTATGAAATAAGACAAAATTTTGGCCTACCAAAGTCATGTGTATTTTTAAAAAGAGGAATGGTGTCACTAGCACAATGAGTTGGACATTGTTGTAACCCATTAAGTGGAAATATCCATGACTTATTTGAAAATAATTTAAAAGCTTTATAAATATTTCTTTCCCCTGAGCTAGTATTTATACTTCCAGAAATATATCTGAAAGAAATAATACAAAATGCAGACAACTGGTATGTTTCATCCTCAGGAACAAGATAATAGATTTTTTAAAAAGTGCGTCACCTTCTTTGAAATCAGGGCTATTTTATTTCACTGTAGTCTTCAAAGTCTCAGGCATCCACAAAGATTGTCAGGAGTCATGTAACAGGAGACACCAACACTATTAGAGAACGGTCATAGCATATCTTACAGACACCCTGTTAGGTGGGTACTGGCCCCTCTGCACCAGCCTGAGCTGAGGTATAGCTTGGAAAAACAACTGGAGTGGGAACAAATATCCAAAAAACATTTATTCACCATGTAAGACTTAGCCACAGTGACCTTTCCTGTTATAAGCATTTCTTACCACCCAGACCGAATGTGGGACTCTGCAGTGTGGTCCCCTTGAAAGTCTGCGTACTTCTGTCCCAGCACTGGCCACACTGATCCAACCACCACACAAGCTGAGAGCTCCTTTGGGGTCTGGGACTATGTGCCCTTTACCTCTATATTCCAGTTCATACGGGGCACACCAAAGGTGCTCAATAAATGTCTGCAGAATGAATGAATGAGACTCATGGGTAACTGCTCATCCCATAAATCTTGGGTAAGGTAGTTTGCAGGAGACCTTGAACCTTGCAGGGTAATAACTCAAGATCCCATGCATTAGGATTTCTGTGGCAGCAACATCCCTAACTTCCAGAACTGACAAAGGACAGTTTGTCAGAGGCCCAGATGCCTGTGGGTCAGGAGCCTTGCCGCCGAGATCCAAAGCAGACAGTCTGGAGCATGTGTACACTGCCTTTGGACTCTGGGACGTGTCACTGATATTCCCCAGGAAACTTGTGAAACCTCCTGTTTATAAAGGTTTCTCCATCTGTTATACTTTCTGTACTTTCCCTCCTCCTGCTCTTGGTAACACGGATGTTTGCATTCCACAGGGATTCCTGTTGCTAAAAGGTCTGTTTTCTCCTGTGAGCCACCCTCATCAGCCAGAGCCCAAACCTGGCTGTGTCCCAAGGCACCATCATCTCCCTCCTGGACTGAGCAAGAGCCTCCTAACTCATCTCTCTTTGCTTCAACTTTTGCACACCTTTAATACATCATCCACTGAAGTCAGCGTAATCTAAAAACAAAATCTGATGGTGTCATGTGTCATAAACTTACCAGCGAATCCCCACTGCCTAGAGGGCTGAATTGTTGGCATGGTCTGGCATGTGGCCCTGGTCTACCAAGTCTTCTCTTCAGCCTGTCACTGTCACACCCCAACACTGCAAGCACAAACTGTTTCATTTTCTTCTCACCCCAACCTCCACACCTCTGTCTATGCCATTTCCTCTACCCAGGATGTAGGTCCCCCTCTTGACTACAGAACTCCTATTTTTATTTTAAAACACTGACCAAATGCCATCCCTCTGTGACACCTTCCTTGACATATGGTCCCTCCTCTGTGCTCTTATAGCAATTTGTGTAGATCATGTATAAAAGTGTATTTCTTTAAAACATTTGTCTTACCTACAAGTCTATCTCAGCAACATCTCCTTCAGGCAGACTCTCACTGCAACCCCAATACCCAGATTTCATCCACACCTGGACTGTTGCCCGGACATCCTCATGGGGTTCCCTATCTCTGGTTTGCCCCAGTAGTGTAATTGCCACACTGCAGTCAGAGGGAACCTCCTTAAACTATATATATATATATATATTTATATGATCAAGTCATTTTCTTGAGTACAACCCTTGGTTGGATCCCTAGTGCTTTCCAGAATAAAGCCCCAATCCCTTAGCATGTGCTGCCCAAAAGGGGATCCCAATGCATAAAGACTTACAGGGTCCAGGTCACTGTAATAAAATAGAGTGAGCCCTTGCAGCATGTAGGCTGTGTGTCCATGGTCAGCCATTCTGGTTCACCGGGTTGGGAGTTAGGAATCTCTTTGGGGTTGCTCACGTTTCCTAGTTCTAGACCACCCTCTGCAGCAGCTGCTGCAGGGCCCCTGTGGGCAGCACTGGGCAGAGTGGAAGGGACCTAGGTCCTTACCAGAGGGGCCACAACTGCGGCTTGAATTCTGATTTGCAAGTTTTTTAAACTCCATGAGCTCTGCATGGTCCTTCTCATACGTCCTCTTCAGATTCTCCACATACTGCATCATCACTTCTGTGGCTTTTGACATACGCTTCTCCTGCAGGGAAGGAGAGCAAGAGTGCATGAGGCAGTTGGAGGAAAGGCTTCATCAACACCTGCTGGTTCTGAGCTAGGAGAATCAAAAGGGTACAGGGACCCATTTGATGAGACTCTTCTTTCTAAGAGTTTGCTAACCATGCCATGAGCTGAGAGGTGGACTCAGGCACCTATGTTAAGGGAAAATGAGCAAAGCATAGCCACAGTGCTGCAGGAGGTGAGAGGAGGACAGGATCTGTTTCTGCTTGCAGAGAATGGGTCGGGGAAGGAGATGAAGTAGATGGAGTATGTGGGCAACATCTGGCACGGGCAGGAGGGACAGAGAGCATTCAGGCCCGGGAACTCCAGAGGCAGAAAAGCACAGGGCTTACGCGTACGTGATTTCAGACAGGAATCCTCTGGAGAGTAAAAGGGGTGCTATTGCATTACTCTGGGACAACAAGCATAAATCAGGGCTGTCTGGCAAACCCAGACTATACAGGTCATCCTAATTACGTAGAACTTGGCGAGGAGTTGGATTTATTCATAAGATGAAAGGGTGAATTGGGACTGGGCTATGAAGGACCTTGAATGCTAGACAAAGGAATTTGAACTTATCCTGAAGGAAAAGGGAAGCCATTGCATGTCTTAAAGTAAAGGAGTAACGTAACCAGGTCACTATGGAGATGAGACTGGAGGGAGTGAGACTGGTGTAGTGAGAGCAGCAGGGAAAGACAGGACAAGGGCCTGAAGTGGTCCAGGGAGCCACAGGGAAGGGGAGGCCTGAGACACGGACGCTGGGGCGAGAGAGACATCTGGAAAAGGGCGAAGACAGTGAGCAGCACGTGGGCTGAGACGTGAGTTTGGGAAGGCTGCGTACAACGATGATGACTTGTCCCTGCTCGTACCCGCCTTGTGTCCCTCAGAGGACCTAGCTTGGGCCTTGCTTGGCCACAGAGAGACATGCCCAGTGACTTCCCTGGAAAAGGTCCCCACAGCCATGTGTGGCTGAGATCAGCCACTTCCAGCTCTCAGCTGGAGTGACTTCCTGGGTGACACTGCTGAGTCAGGTGCTCCTCCCCTGAAGGACACAGGGTGGGACAGCCCAGTGGCTGGGCTTCTTTCAGGAACTGCGCAGGGCTGTACCCCAGGAACATCCTCTCATGCAACCAGCGCAGCAGGACATGGATCCGGGACAACAGCAACAGTGATAACATCTAAGTGCTTCACGAGTATCACAGCAACCCTACACGGAGGGTACCATGGTCATCCTCACGTATGGCTGAGGAAGCTAAGGCATAAAGAGCTTGGAAACCAGCCCAAGGTCACATGGCAAATGCAGGGTGGAGCCGGGATTAGAACTGGGCAGAGTGATCTGCAACACCATGCTGGACAGGGCAGTGCTCTGTGAGCTTCAGAACTTCAGAGTGGCCAAGAGAGAGCCAGGCCATGCCTGGGTGCCCACGCTGCCACTCACTAGTGCTAGCATTTTCCTAAGACTCTGCATCTTCAGCTGGGGAAACGGATATTTACCTTATAAGGTTGCTGGGTGGATCAAATGAAACAAAGTCATTTTTCATAAAGCATGGTTTGCCAATACTAGTTCCATGGAAGTTGAATAGTTTTTGTGGGGTTTTTTTTGTTTGTTTTTTGAGGAAACTAAAGGGCGTTGGGCAGGGGCTCTGCAGTCAAATACATGGAGGAAATACATAGGTAAAGTTAAACAGGCTTCTTTACTACAGGACTTCTCAAAGCCTCGATCATGCCAATGTGCGTTAGAAATCTCCAAGAAAGGCAGATAGTATGCAGTGGTCCCCAGATGCGTATTGCCATGGAAACCTTTTTCCCAAGAAACACCGAGGGTTTAGTAGTCCGCCCCAAGCGCTCTGAACACTGCCATAGTAACGTACACAGGATGCTGGCCCCGAGGAAGTCATCCCTAAGTGGTATGTGCAGTTGTCACTGCCCGAGTTATTGCTCCACCTGTCGGCAAGGCTGGGGACGGGCGAGCTCACCTGGCGCACGGCGCCCACCATCTCAGCGCGGCTGGACAGGCGGGCAGCCAGGCGGTGCAGGACAGCGATGTCCTCCAGCAGCTTCTGGTAGGTCTCCCGGTGCTCACAGTGGTGCCAGAGCGAAGCTGAGGACTGCAGAGTGAGGAGGAGCATCACCTGGGGTCTTCAAATCGTGTGACGGACTGAATGTTTGTGTCTCCCCTGAAATCATGCACTGAAATACCACTCCCAATGGAGTAGGGAAGTGGGGCCTTTGGGAGGTGATCGGGTCACAAGGGCGGAAGCCTCACGAATGGGATTACTGTCCTTATGAAAGGGACCTCGCAAGTTCTCCTGCCCTCCTTCCACCATGTCGGGATATGATGGAAAGGCAGCCGTCGGCAGCCTGGAGAGGGCCCTCGCCAGCACCCAACCACGCTGGCACCCTGGTCTGGGACTTCCAGAACTGCGAGAAATAAATCTTTGTTGTTTAAGCCACTACTCGGTCTATGGTACTTTGATACAACAGCCCAAAGTGACTAAGACACACACCAAGCCTGGACGTGGCTCTCAGGAGACAACCCCTGCTGCGTCCCATCCTGGCCGAGAGAAGTGGCCTCTGCAGGGGCCAGGCCACAGCTTCTCCTGGGGGCTGGAGAAGCCCAATGTGGACACCTCTATATCTGGCTGGCCTGAAAGAAGTCGTCACATACAGGCCACCCAGCCCCGTCCTGAGGGGAGCTCCCAAGGGCCCAGGGCCTAGCCCACAGGCAGCAGGAACCAGGCCCTTGGGGATCTCTGCCTCAGTTCCTCCCAGCTCTCTGAGGAAGACTCTGTCAGAGTCTCACCTCAAGTTTTCATTCCAGGAGACCCTACTTGGTGACTGATAGAAGCGTGACACCCAGCACAGCCCTTGGAGACAGTCCCTCCCCAAGGATTCTTCAAATCAGGCTCTGTAATCACCGTAATGGAAGCTTTGAAGTTTTCCAGTTCCTTCTCCGTGTTCTCCTCTGTTAGGTTGCGTTCCCTTTCAGCCTGGTTAATTCTAGATTCCAGGGTGTAGCTGTCATTTCTAAAGGCCAAGGATAGTTGTACAAACACGTTCTGTTGGGAACAAGAGTGTGGGAGAGGTGCTAGGAGGCGTTATTGCAGGGAACGAGGCTACGGGTGTGCTTCTTGCACGAGCATTTTGCAGCAGTCCCTGGCACTGGCACCAAGGCAGCCATGTGCAAGTGCAACGCTTACTTCACAGTAAAATACATGAGAGATGGCAAAATAGTCACCAGAAGTCCAGGCTAGGTCCTTCCCAGGACCAGAAGACCATATGTATTTTACTGGAAAATCATAAGAGATTAACGCTTTGCTTTTCCCTGAATTTTAAGAAAATAACATCCTGTATTTGGGTTTAGATAAACTCAGGCCAGTGCAGCTGATTGTGTAAGCAATTTGGATTTATGTTGGGATTTATTACACGAAGGTTTTGGAGATTTTGCATAAAAACACTGTATTTAAAGAAAGCCCATTCAAGATTAAGCATTGTTGACTTACAGCAAATTTCAACCAGCATCTCGCCTGAGTATTCCAAATCCTACATCAATAGCAGCTTTAAGTAGCTGCCAGGAGATTAAATAAGGCCAGGTACAATTCTGTTAGGATAAGCTCTCCGGAATAAATAAATATTTCATGCCAAAAATGCAGCCTGCATGAACTCTTAAAAGGTGATATTGATCAGACGTGGAATTCCTGGAATAATAGGAAACTACTGGGGAGAAGAAATAGACAGATAGACTCCACACAGGAAGGAAACAATGATCTTCAATTTTATAGCCTTCATCTGCCCTGCATGAGTCAAACGGCAGCAGATTTATATCCTGTGGTCACCAATTCTGCCTTAGCTTCTGAAGTTCCTGTAACATGCCCCATGGAGGGCAGATGCTTGCCAAGAACTGAACTGACCCAACGCTGATGATGGTGGCAATACTGAAACTACTCCTTACTGAGCATCTACTATACGCCAGCACTGCTATGAGTTTTACTACCCCTGGCTCATTTAATCCCACAACAACCCTTTGGGGTGGGAAGTGTTACACTCATTTAATGGGTAAAGAGACCGAAAACAGAGAGGTTAAGTTCAAAGTGACACAGGGAGTAGCAGAGCCAGGATTTAACCTTGGACTGTCTGATTCCAATGCCTGTTTTACTTCCACCATGATGCAAGCTGATTGTGTCTGTAGGCATTTGAGGACAGGGTCTGGGCATTAAATATGCTGCCCATGGCCCCTCTTCACAAACATCAGTGGATGGGCTTTGAGCTCACAGCCCAGTGGTGGGGACTTTCTGCCCTACCCAGGCCTTGGTCAAGTCTATTAGTACTGCTTGATGCTTATTTCTCTGTCCCTGGGTCATCCCCTTTATGGCGCTGTTACATAAAGAGTCCTGAATTCAGTGGGAACTTGGTTTTGCAAAGAACTGGGTTTGGGCAAGTTATTTAATCACTCAGTTTTCTCCTTGTTCTAATTCCTGGTCAACCTGCTTTTCAGAGCTGCTGGGAGGATCAGCCGAAGGGATGGCGAGGAGCATGTTATGGACTGTAAGTGCGCGTCTACGTGCAAGGTGGTTGTTACTGTCGGTGGTGGGCACTTCATGCTGTCTGTCTTCCTCTGCTTATCTGGTCCACATCAGCAGTTCTCACCATCTCACGTCTGATATGTTTTTTGCCCATCTACCCCTTCACCAGAAGGAAACACAAATTCCTCTCAGCTTGCTCACAACCCCACTGGGACAAGGAGGCCCCCAGGGGAGTAATGGGCGAATTGGGAAGACAGGGCTACTCACTGCAGCCTCCCGCCTCAGCAGACTGGCTGTCTGGTAGCTGAAAGCCTCAGAGGGCAAGCCCCTCTTCCCTCTAGACCACAGTTTAAAATTCGAAAACTGGCCATCTTTCAATAATATTGAAATAAATTTGGTGTACTTCTGCATGCTCCCAGCTGCTTTTGTGTGTCTAAGTCATACACTGAAAGCACATAAACAATCCTTGAAGGAACGTGGAACTTCTAACTACCTTCTCACCTCTGACCAAATTTGTCAAAATCTTCCATTAACTAAGGTGGTTCAGGAGGGCTGGTCACCAATGTCCACATTATCCCACAGTCACTCTTTCTCGTTTTTGTGTAAAAATGTCAGGGCTGAGGCTGGAGGAAGGAATGTTTTGAATAAGCCCAGTCGAGTACAGGCACTAAATTTCACAAAGCACTTGAATCACTTACCTCAACTTCCTTTTCGGTGAGTGGAGGGGCACTGTGAAAGAGAAAAGACACACAATTGAACTTTATGCAACCTATTAAATAAACCAAAAGGTGACTTTGAATGACCAGCAGACCACGTGTTTCCAGGAATGCAGTAAGCAGAGGTGGTGAGACGGAAAAGATGCAGCGTCCCCTTTGCGTGTGCTCTGTCACCTGTGCCACATTGACTCTTACTGCGCCAGTGCTATCTCTGCCACTTGGACAAGTTATTTATTCTCTCGAGCCCCAGTTTGCTCATCTGTGAAATGGGAACATCATCATCTATCTTGTGGAAGTCTTATAAGAAACAGATGTACAGGGCCGGGGACGGTGGCTCCCACCTGTAATCCTAGCACTCTGGGAGGCTCAGGTGGGAGGATTGTATGAGGTCAGGAGTTTGAGACCAGCCTGAGCAAGAGTGAGACCCTGTTTCTACCAAAAATAGAAAAAAATTAGCCAGGCATGATGGCATGCCTATAGTTCTAGCTATTTGGGAGGGTGAGGCAGAAGGATTGCTCGAGCCCAGGAGTTTGAGTTTGCAGTGAGCTAGGCTGACGCCACGGCACTCTAGCCTGGGTGACAGAGGGAGACTCTGTCTCCAAAAAAAAAGGAAAAAACACATCTGCACGTATGAATGTGTGTGTGCACAAATACATGGCACCCATATTCAGTAGGCACTCAGGAAATGTTAGCTATTACCATTAACTCACAGGCTTGCTAATGTGGAATAAATAAGAAAACGCATAAGTACTTTATAAACTGTACACGCCCAAGTTGTCACTATAGTTTTTCTGGACCATCCTCCTGTCTCTGAGGTTATGAGGGCGCAGGTGGAGAGAGAATAAATGGTAAGAAAGAGTGGCCAGAGCTCTGCTCCACAGCGAGGACCCCTGACGCCCGGCATCAGAGAGCAGGCAAGGATGTCTCGGCAGACATGAGGTGTCCCTCTGCGTGCAGGACCTATGGCCGGGGCTCTGTGACCGTAAGCAGGCCCTCCATCTGCACGCCCACTCTGTTGCTGCTGCTGCTGCTCTTGCGGTAGCTAAAGCCGGCCGGTGCGAAGCCCAGACGACGTAAATAATGCATGGGCCTTTCCTGCGCTGGGGTGGGGAGGTGCGGGAGGGGGCCTGCCAGTGTCACGGGACTTAACAGAGCACAGCATCGATCAACTTTTCAGGAAACACAGCTTCCTCCCTCTGACGGGTGCAGAGGGACCCCGAGAGCAAAGGTAGGGGTCAGCCAGCTCTGCAAGGGGCTGGTTCTCACTGGGGAGGGACTGTGGGAGCCTTCCTGTCAGGATGAGGCGGCCAGACCCCACGGCCATCCAGCCAGCAGAGGACAGAACGTGGATAAACAGCTGCAGAGATGTGTTTTTGCTTACGACCTGAGTCACAGCCCTACCCACCCACCCAGAGGCTTTTTCCTCTGAGGCCAACACAAGCCTAGCTGTCACACAGCACACACACATGCTGTTTAAATGATTTATGAAAACCGAGTTTGCCTCCGACTGCTGGGTTTGTTTGGATATTATGTGAAAAATACATATTTTCATAAATTATGAACCAAACTTGTTTTTCTCTTTTAATGACTCACATTCTGTTTATTTTTTATTATTGTTTTTGCTATAGAACACACCCACCTTTGAAAAAAAATTAAAAACTGAGCACTCAGAGAAGTGTGATTTAGGCAGAGAAGCTACGTGACATGGCCAGTTCCTGGTGCAGAGAGCTGTACCCTGCAAACTGGCGTAGGCAGCTGGGTGGCAGAACTGTGGGCCCGCAAAAGGACAGAGCATCTTTTCACGTGCCACCTTGTGTATCTTCTTTGAAGAAATGTCTATTTAAATCCTTTGCCCGTTATGAAAAATTGGTTATTCATCTTTTTATTGTTGAGCTATAAGACTTCTTTATACATTCTAGAAACAAGTCCCTTTTCAGATAAATATTTTGCAAATATTTTCTTCCATTCTGTGGGTTGCCTTTCACCCAATGGCACTGTTGGTAGCATGAAAGTTTTTTATTGGAGGAAGTACCATTCATCTAGTTTTTATCTTGGCACTTGTTCTTTTGTCATCTCTTAAAAACCATGGACGAGGCCGGGCGCGGTGGTTCACGCCTGTAATCCTAACACTCTGAGAGGCTGAGGCGGGTGGATTGCTGGAGGTCAGGAGTTCAAAACCAGCCTGAACAAGAGGGAGACCCCGTCTCTACTATAAATAGAAAGAAATTAATTGGCCAACTAATATATATATATAAAATTAGCCGGGCATGGTGGCACATGCCTGTAGTCCCAGCTACTCGGGAGGCTGAGGTAGAAGGATTACTTGAGCCCAGGAGTTTGAGGTTGCTGTGAGCTAGGCTGATGCCACGGCACTCACTATAACCTGGGCAACAAGTGAGACTCTGTCTCAAAGAAAAAAAACCATGGACGAACCCAAGATTTACTTGTATTTTTTCTTCTAAGAGTTTTGTAGCATTTTCTTTTAGATTTAGGTCTACAATCCATTTTGAGCTAATTTGTGTGTATGGTGTGAGGTAGGGTTCCAACTTTAACCCTTTTCCATGTGGCTGTCATAGTTGTCCCAGAACCATTTGTTGAAATCACTATTCTTTTCTTTGGAAATTTCTTCACCAAAATCTTTGCATGGATGGCTTTTTGTCATTTGTCATTTTCATGTCTCATATTCGTTATTACCTTATCATAGAGGCTTTCTGTGACCTCCTATCTCATGTTTCACTCTAATGTCATTCTCGATACGTACCCTATCTTTATGGTCTTTCTAGCAACTTTGCTATCTCAAATCATTCATTTGGTTACTTAAATATTATTTGTCTCCCCACATAGAATGTAAGTGCATGAGAACAGGGACTGTGTCTGCTCATTCATTCTAATGTGTGGCACAGAGTAGACACTCAATGAATACCTGTTGATTAAATGCATACTTATGGCTCCTGTTGGGTTTGACCCTGGGTGCTACCTCATCTGGTGATATTTTCTACTTTGCACTCTTATTAACCAACCACAGGCCATGTCCCTGATTTGGGACCTGCTTTTTCTACTTAACCTGTTCATCTTGTGACTCTATGACCCACCTCTTGATACAGTCCAATCCCAATTCACATAGTCCACCTAGGATATGGAACCAATTCCTTCCTCATATGAAAATTCAAGCATAACCTTCCCTATTTCTGCTAGAGGAAAGAATTCTGAAGCTCTGGCTTCCTTTTGTTGGATGACAAATCTCATGTGACAGTTGTGCCCATCTATCCCAAGCTCCAAACAAGGGCTAGAGTACTTTAGGCCAAACCAAGTGCCCCAGTTGGAAACAGCCTCTTCTGAGGCTAGAGGGGGAGCCGGTTTGGTGGCCAGGGCAGGGAGGCTGGAGATGGACAACATTGCTATTAAAACAATGCATGATATATATTGATCTCAGTGTGAGAGCCTGGACCGCAGCTTCAGAAGCTGATCACATTCATGAACCATGCAGGCCTGTATAGGTCCAGTCTGGGCCATGGTTTGCAGCTGGTAGCTATTCACTTACTCAAGGAATCTAGAACTGCCCAGTCTCCTCCTCCTGGGGGAGCTGGGGATATACCCTAATCAAATGAATTATTTTTAGCTTTACTGATGAGAAAGAAGCCAATCACACTCTTGATCAGCCCTGTTCCTTGCAGACTGCAGAGGACTGATGACTATGTTGGCACTTTTGACAGGCCCTGGTACAGATGGTCTGGAATCAGCCCACCCTGAGTTCAATCCCTCACTCTGTCACTTGCCAGCATGTCACTTTGCCTCTTTGTCCCCTCACTAAAGACAGACAAAGCAAAATCTTCCTTTTTTGCCTCACTAGGTTGTCACAAACATGGAAAGACACACAGTATGCAAACATGCTCTGTAGCCTGCAACGCACTGGGGTGTTTCTCCTTTGATTCCTGCCTCTTGATGCCTCGCTCGGCCTTCCTCAAGGTGAACTGGCCCAACCCACGCCCTCCTCCAGCTGTGGGTGCAGCCTGTTTCTGACTTATTTTTAGCATTTTCCCTGATGTCTGTCTCGTCGCTAAGGCCCTGTGAGTATTGCCCTGATGACTCTGTGTTTTAGGTGATTATAGTGTGAATCTGCACACATCACAGCCACTGGGCACAATTTCTTCTTTCACGTGTGCCCCCAAATCCAGGAGCTCTGTTATGACTGGCTGCTCCCCTAATGACCTTCCCTTCCCTCGACTGTTGAGTCTCCCATTTGCTGGCTCAGTTGGAGACCTCACCTGCAGGCACCCACCCACCTCTATTGCTCAGTAGTCCCATGTCTTCTCTCTTTTATACTCCATACTGTTCACTTTTCAACCCAGTTGTCAGGGCCTGTTGTGTGCTAACACCGTCCTAAGCTCCCGCTCACACATGATCACATTTAGCCAGCACCATAACCTACCAGTGACAGAGCACTATGGCTCCCCTTGCATAGGTAATGAAGCAAGGCTCAGAAAGCAAAGGCACTGTCCCCCATGCATGAAAGAGGCCTAGTAGGTTTTCCAAACAATCCTTCTTCATGTGGTTCCCAATCTTCCATATCTCCAGTTGTGCAGATATCAGACTTAGACTCTCCTAGTCACAGGTAGCTGGTATATCTGGGATTGAAACCCATGTCTCTTGGCCCAAAGCCCATTACCTATCCTCTACTGTCATGAGCTTCTGGGGACTCTTATGCCTTCCTGGCTTGTGTCTACCTAAGAACCCCACCTGCTCTTTGAGTTGAAAACATCCAGCCTGACCTTTAATTATTCTTTTTGTTTTGGATACATTATCCCTTCCTGAACCACTGGACTTTGGCCTTTCTGGAGTCAAGAATCAAGACTAGTTCTCATGCCCCACCTAGAATCCAACACAAGAACCGCTTAGTACAGGGTCTTCAGCAACCCATGTCCTGATATTACCTTCCAGGGAGGCTCTTGTGGACACGCAGTTTGCGCAGCAGCACGTCAGAAATATTAGGCATGACATCCAAGCCAGTCTTTGATTCGTCTTCCTCAATAGCTGAGGAGAGTTCAGAAGGAAGCCCTGGGAAGAAAAAAAGTGCTTACTTATAAAATATCTCTTTGAAATCACAGTAGTACAACTGGCAACTAGCTTCAGGAGGCAACGAAGAGCTTCAACATTTCTAAGTACCTATTTATAAAGCCAAGTGCTTTATAATTGTCATCTAACTTTATTCTTACAATGACCCAGAACTTAAGATCATCTTGTAAATCATCATCAAAATAAGATCATCTTATTTTACATGTGAGTAAACCAAGACTCAGCAAGTTTAAGTAACTTGCTCAAGGTCACAGAACTAGAAGATGGCATAGCCAGACTTCAAACCAAGGTCTACCTGGGCTCCAAATTCTATGTTCTTCCTATTGCTGCCCACCCCCCTCCACCCCACTGTATCAAGCTGGCAACTGGAAATTGGTTGGCTGTTTGGCTATCATGTTTGGAAAACCCTCTCTCTTTGACAGGCTTCTCATGAGGCCTATAGTCCAATTATTCTTCCTCTGAAGAATTCAAATGTTCTACCTTTGGTGTCCTATTTAGAAATTAGCTTCTCGTTCCATCCCCCATAGCTTGGAGATTTTCCAAAGTAAAACTAAGTTCATTAAATCTTTTATAGATTTCAGAAATATAGATGCCTCTTAGGCAACAGAGCCAATGAACCACCTTTTTTTTTTTAACCTCCTAAAACTATCCTAGGTCTGTGCTCTGAAGGCAGAAAGAATAAACTAAGTATTCTCTTTCCCATAAATCTTTCCCTGTTTGAAGATAGCTCTTGTGCCTGTCCACAGCTTCATTTCTCCGGGCTCTAGCTCCATTTTTGCAGCAGCTCATTGTGGTCCACTGCGCCCCAAAGCCTCTAGGTATCGTCCCATGTCTGCACACATTCTGATTTGCTGCTGTCCTCAAGGCCCAGACATGCTCTAACAAGCTCTTAGCATAGGAGGACATTGGCAAATGTTCCTGGCATCGATGCTTATTACCCATGCAGCACAGACTTGCTGTACCTGACTCTGGGGTCAGAGTACATTTAGGATTAAGCAAAACTCTCAAAATTCTTTACTTGAGCCAGATCAAGCAACCTCATCTTGTACAACAGTTTCTTGCATGGGGCATTTTATATTTATCCATGTTTTACTATATCTCAAAGGTTTTAACCTAGCAGCTTTCTAACCTGCTTGATCATGTTCCAGGATTGTCGTCTAGGCTACAGACTAGGATTGGAGGTCAGGACTATTGGTAGTTGTGGTTGTTATCTAAAGAGCCAAAATTGGAAATCATGTGAATGGAAGCCTCACCAAGGAAGACCATGCAGAAAGAAGAGGAGATATAGTTTGGCTCAAGGTAAAGAATGTTCAAATACTTTGAGCTTTCCAGTAACAAAATGGTGTTCATGAGTTCCCTGGTACTCAAGATATCCAAGCAAAAGCTGGAGAGTCAGCTGTCAGAGATGGGGCAGTGGCAATCCTTCTTTGGATATTGGGCTAGAAGTTCTCTTAGCTACCTCTGGGGTTTTGTCTTGGCATTTATTGCTGACATTTCCATAGTAAACCTTGTGTACCTCTGGCCCCACTCTACCTTTGTGTATCCCTACACACCACACCAAGAGCCAATTTAGCAGCAGGCTTCTGAGAAATAAATTTATATGATTGACTGACACACTTGAAGTCTAATAATCAAGGAAAATTCATACCAGGGGCTTTTGCCTTTTGCCTAGACTGAGCCAGGAAAAAAAAAAAAAAAGGCTTCTAGCCTTTGTTAAAATGGTGCCTAAAGAGTGATACCAGAATCAGTGCTCTTAGAACCAACCACCTTCCTCCTGAATTCAACCAAATTAACAAAAGATTTTAAAACAATCAAAAATATACCAACAACTTTCAAATATAGGAAAAGGAGATAGTCTTTAAAAATGACTAGAGAAAGAAATTGCTATGGATAAACATAGAGCTCCCACCCTTGATAACCCTGTCTTCCCCCCCTCCACCCCCGCCCCAGAATCAGTACTGAAAGGGAGATGTGAAAGGAAAGCCCCTAACAGATGGGAAGGGAAGTCTATGTAGGGGCGAGTAGGCAGCCGGTGGAGGAAATTCAGAGTTTCCCTAGAATAGAAGGTTCTCCATTCCACTGTACTTACACTTCAGAAAGAGGAAAAGAACTGCCTGGGCTGCCTGCCATTTTGCTTTTCTTACTGATAAGGAGGCAAGAGGAAAGGCAGAATGACTTTGCGGATTCTATCGGAGTTAATTATCTTGAACAATATGGAGGGATTTACCAGAAAGGAAAACCAAAGATGAAGTAAATAAACCAAGTCCCTCTGATGGAGTGAGTAGCAGGAGACACATGGAAAGCCCAAACTGATGCCACCACCATGCTCTCCCCCACTCTTTTTTTTTTTTTTTTTTTGAGACAAGAGTCCTTGCTTTGTTGTCCAGGTCGAGTGAGTGCCGCACGCGTTAGCCTCGCTCACAGCACCTCAAACTCCTGGGCTCAGCGATCCTCACTGCCTCAGTTCCTGGAGTGCTGGACTACAGGCACTGTGCCACCATGCCCGGGCTATTTATATATATACGTCGTTGGGCCAATTGAAATTTCTTTCTATTTATTAGTAGAGACGGGGTCTCCCTCTTGTTCAGGCTGGTTTTGAACTCCTGACCTCGAGCAATCCGCCAGCCTCGGCTTCCCAGAGAGCTAGGATTACAGGTGTGAGCCACCGTGCCCGGCCACTCCTCCCACTCTTGAAAAACAGTGGCTAATCCCTTGGATTTTGTCTACCTTTTCCCTCCTTTATGGGCAGGAGAGTGAATGGCTAATGTGAAGAATTGGGGTCAAGTCTGGAAAATAAACACCCGGGCAGGTTGTCTCCACAATTCTACCCCAAACTGGTGAAACAATCTAAAAGCCACTAATACCCACCCAAGAGAATAAGATATGTCCCCAATTTGGTATCATAAACTCAAGTTTTAGACTAAAACAAAGTTATAGAAAAAGAACAGAAACAAATTCTCCAAACACATGGCTCTATCTGAACTTCCCCTTTTCCATACCACCCAATCAGTAACAAAACAGACAAACACAAAATACATAATCTTCAACTAAAGCACTGAAGGGAATACAAAGAGATCTCAGATAAGGTAGGAAGGAATCAGTAAAAATCAACCTACGCAATATATCTGGGTAAAGAGAAAATCAAGGTACAAATATCCAGACCAAAAAGAAATAAAATGAAAACAAATGGCATGGCAACTATATAAAAATACTATAGTCAAAAGAGGAAGGAATGTAGAAAGGAAGGAAAAAGGGAAACATGCAGGAGACAGATGTCAGGACGGAAACATAGCTGCAAGAAACACAATAAAAAATGCAAAAGGACACTTTTGTGCAAAATATATAGCACAAATGCTTTGACTCTAGGAGAAATTAGAACCTGAAAAAAATAAAAATAAAAAATCAGAGCTGGGATGAGACAATCACACAAAGAAGGAATAAGATGATGGCTGTTTAAGGAAACAAACTGAAGACCAAAATAGATTCAAGAAACTAGAAAATTAAAAACTAACCAATGTATTGGAAATGATGGAATAAATAGATATAGCTTCAAACTGAATTAGTAAGAAGGGTGGGGGAGATTGAGCGATCACAAGGAATACAAAGAGGGAAAGAAAGACTGAAGTATATAGAGATGAAATAATGGACTTGGAGTTAAGGCACTGATGACTAGTCTATGAATTTGTTGTCTCTTGGATAGTGAACAAAACAAATGAAACAAAGAACATATTCAAAAATTTAACAGAAAAAATTTTTTCCTCAATTGAGGGGAAAGTTGAACCCATGGGTTGACAGAACACAACATGTTAAAAAAAAAAAAAAAAAGATGTAGAAATGTTTCCCTAGCTATCCCCACAGAAAAAAGAAAGACATCTTCAAAGGAAGATGATGATTGAGGGGTGCTAGTCTTCCCTACAACATTGAATACAGTGGAACAACATCTACACAGTCCTCAGAAAAAGGATCACCCAAGAATTTTGTAATCATGCAAGCTGGTCCTTCAAAATAAAATTCTCAAACATGCTAGAACTCAGGGAACATAGGACCTCTGAACCTTTCTACGAAAACTATTGGAAAATGCAATCCTGAGAAACAAATTATAAATAAAAATAATAAACTTGGGAATGGTGAGCCCTGGTAAAGGGACTAGTGATGAGCATAAAATCTTTTTACATGTAAGGCTAAGACTAAGCAACTGTGGAAACCATTGTTACAAAACAGAGTGTAAATGTTATAACCTGGATGACATACAAAGAAGAATTCAACATGTGTAGAGGTAGAAATGGAAAGATAGGAAGAAACATTAAGGTGGAAAGAAATACTACCGTTCTCCTCTTTTCCTGCAGGAAGTCAGTAGGTACCACTGTAGTGACTAAGTGTTCTTCGTTTCTGTATTCCTGATGCTCTGGCATTTGGGGCCTTAATCCTGGAGAGATTGCCCCTCTTAGGCAATTCCTAGAGGCAGGAAACAACTCTCCCTTCAAGAGTGTCTTTGAAATATAGACCAACCAATCCAGAACCCACACCCCCCACCATCTCCTTTACCAAATTCTCACATACCAAGCCAATATTCTCCACCATCCACCCCCAGCCCTAAATCGCCCCAGGGCCAGGTACTTGATGACTAGGGACCACCCCTATAGCCCAGAGCCTGCCAAAATTATTCAAACCATCCAATCCTAAACTTTCTCAGGGTGCCTACACTGCCTCAACTGCCCTTTCCCTTGAGAAGCCCAGTAAAGGCCCTGGGCCCTGCTCTCCTCTCACTGCTTCTGCCTCCTGACCGAGTCTGGTCCTTCCCCAAGCGGCCCTGCGTGGTGTGCCGTGTGCCTCCTGTTCTGAGGAATCTGTGAGTATAAACTTATTCCTTCATGATAGTCATTTCCAGGTCTGTGTGTCCTGGTTGAAACAACTGCCAGGTCCAAAGCTTACAGCAAACTTGAAACATAATGCAAGAAAACTACCTCAATGACTCCAAACCC